AAAAAATAAAATATGGAAAATCGAAATGAAAAAATTAAAATATGGAAAAAAGTCTTATACAAAAAAAAATTGGACACGCCTAAAAAAGTCCTTAGAATTGAGATGTCCGAAACGATATTCATTTTTATTTTTGTATTATTTTGTTTCTTATTTTATTCCTCATTTTTTTGAAGTTCTAAAAAAAATTACTTTTTATTCAGAAAAAACAAAATTTGTTAATTTGAGACGTACATATGCATTATATGTTAATTTTTTCAAACAAAAATAACTTTAAATTTTAAGAACATTATAAAAATATTTTTAAAAAACCTTTATTAATAAATGAAACAAAAAAGGAAAAAATGAAAAAAAAATTGCGAGAAATAAAAATCAGCACAGTTACCCTTTATGGTTTAAAAAATATGCACCGATGCCCCCTTCTTTGCCGGAAAAATGGCCAGAAATTGATCAGAGGGGGCATGGGTGCAGCTTTTTAAAACCACGGGGACTTTAGAAATGAGTTTTGAAAACAGATGGGGTATTGGTGCATGTTTTGCAAACCACGAGGGGTACCAGCGCTATTAGGCCAATTAAAACGTAACTATAAAAAGAATTATCATAATGACATGCATCTAATAACTACAAATAGAAATTTCATAAATATAGGTAGGTGTAGTAAACAATGACTTCAAAAAGAAATTCCATAATTAGGATGTTTTACTCGAACATGGATTATTTTTTTGAAATAAAGGTAAGTTTTATTACTCCCTCCATCTAATTTAAATCGTTTGTTGTTGTTTACAAAATTTGATTAATCTTACTTTTAATTCAATTTATTTGAAAATATGTATGGATTTAAGATACAAAATTTGTATATTTAAAAATTTTATCAAAAATTTTAGAAAATACATCAATGAACAAAAGTTCTCGTAGTCTTTGAATAACGAAGAGTGTAAATCATTGTGGGACGAATGGAACATATAATCTTTAACTTTTTTAAAAAATTATTCAGAGATTTTTAGTTATATTAATTTAAAAACAAGTCCAATGAAACATATAAAAAAATATTTTACTATGTGAGATTTAACCTCAAAATATGTACGGATAGTAGGTTGAGTCCCACCCTCCATCGTCGTCATATTTTCTTAATTACGCGATTATGAAACAATAAAACATTATTAATTGGTTATGAAACGTGTAAATGCATATATGTATGTAGATACACTATAATGATTATTGTAGTTCCCCTAAGTTAAAGATTTCATGAGTAGGGTAAAGCCATGCATGAATTAAAATCCAATTTTAATTAAATTGTTATTATTTTTTCATATAATCTTAAATCATATAGTGTTAAATGTAAACGAAGCGTGATATACCATTATATACGGATCGAATGTTACAACAACAACAACAACCCAGTTGGATTCCACTACAGTAGAGTCTGAGGAGGGTGTGTGTACGCAGACCTTGCCCCTACTTGGAAGCAGGGAGGCTGTTTCCAAGAGACCCCCGGCTCAACCTGCACAAAAAAATGATAGGGTATACAGTATAGCATGAATCGAATGTTAGACCTAACATTATCTTTGACTTTTTAAGAATAAATAAAATATACTATGGCTTAATACTTTCTGCGTCCCTAAAAGATTGACACAATTTAACTTTTTTGGTCAAACTGTAACATCCTTGGTCCTTGGACCACAAATTAAATATAGTTTATATTAATTAATTATTATAAAATTTTGATATTTCAAAACTATAATTTAAAATAAACCTAATTTTACTAAATTTACATTATAACTAAATTTATTTTTCCATAATTTGCAATCAAAGGGTGCCACAGTTTAATAAAAAAAGTCAAACTATGACAATCTTTTAGGGACGGATATAATATATATGTACACAACAAAAGTCATAAATTGACCACTAGGCTTTCTTTGACAAAACTTTTACGGAGTAATTATATATCGCTGGGTTTAACATTACAAAAATGCGGAATACTCCGTATAATTCATCGATAATTTTCAATTTAATTATTTTTAAATTTAATTTTTATGAAGAATTCAAAAAAAAAAAAAATAATAAATTTCATGACAAAATCTGATGGATACTCGGGAATGGGGTATCCGGCCCAACGGAAAAGCAGCCCAACCATGTTAAGGCCCACTTAGCTGGACGAAGGCAGGACTAATCTGAAGACCTAGGAAGGCCACCTTTGCATCAGATCACACTCGGCCTCGGCAGGGTCGGTCATCCTCGGACCACCCTCGGCCGGCCTTCCATCAAGGGACTTCAGGAACGAGATCATACGCACTCGGCCTCGGCCCGGGGCGTAAGTAGACCAGGTCCAGACATGGGAACTGTCTAAGTGGTCAAGATCAAGGGGCCCACGATTGGACCCATGCCATACCTCTGGCAGAGTTGTTCTAGCCACCCTATTTGCAACCTATTTTGTATAGCAACCCTAGGGATAATGATGTGGTTAGGCGCCGCCAGTGAGCAACCCAAATCTTAGTGGGCCCGAACCGTTGGACTTCGAACCAACGTTCGGGAACCCTTCGTTGTAATTCGCATATAAACCCCTCCTGGGGGAGGGGGAGACTTACGTTCTAACTTACGTTCCAACTAGCACAATAATACTTACTACTTATTTGACCCCAAACTTGTGCACTCTCAACTTAGTTTGATACTCTTTCCGCCTAGTCTCCTAGGCCCCGGGTTCCTTAACCCAACAAAAACAATAACTCTAATCACAAACATAAATTCTATATGAGTGCTTGAGTGCGCTTGATTGCTTGGAGGCGTAGCTTAGTTGGTCGAGAGCAATGACACAACCCAGGTTCCAAAATACATAAAAAGAATGATAATGCTATGTGATGGTGTAAATTACCACGCAAATACTAAGTAAAAGTAATCGGAAGGGCTGTAGGTGGAAACACCTGTAACCCGGCTTGTTATTAATTAAAATAGGAACTTATTACAATCAGTACAGGCCGTGTGGATTAATTAAAGCATACCTCACAAATGAGGGTTTTAGGGGTATTTATAACAAAACTAAGCACGTCAAGCATGTCTCTAGTTATCCAACCGGTCATTCGTCTGACCGGCTGCATAAGAGTACTACCCAACTGGCTTCACGACCCGGTCTGAGAAGGATGTGCTCTGTCACTTACGTCACCACCCAGTCGGACGAACCAACCGGGTGGTATCCATGGGTTATTACCCATCAAGGAGTCCTCCGATTCCCGGTCCTGTGGGGACCATCAGGGGCGGGAAGCACATGCGATTATTTCTTGAAATTTGAACTGCCCAGTCGCTTTTTGGCGGGAAAATCGTCTCGGAAAATCAGCGCCAACCCAAAATATTTGAAATTTGAATTTTCGAAATTTAAATTTCGAAAACCGGGTGTCCAAGGCGGGAAAATCTTCTCGAAGTCGGGTACGGAGCCGCCGATTCATTGTGCCGTTTCGTCTTCCCGAGAGGTTATGACGAGAAATCATTTTGCTCGCCACGTGTCATTCTACCATTCGCCCGTCAGGGCGGCACTCCCCCTATATAAAGCGAGGTTCTCCCAAGAATTTCCTCACTTGCAAATCTTCAATTCAAAAACTGCCCGGCTGCTTTTGCTTTTTCACGAGTCCTCCGAGTCTTCTAACCGTCTCCAAGTAAGTTTCTTTCCTTCCTTTTCTGAGTCATGTCAGACCGTGAGGATAGCCAGAACCTTTCCGTTCACTCTTATGGTTCTGCTGGCCGGTCTCCAGCCTCTGGTTCCTCTTCCTCTTCTTCTTTCGACTCTGAGCACCCGGCTACTTCTCCACAGAAGAAGCCGGTTGATGCTTCCACTTGTGCCCCTTCTTCTTCCGCGGCGCAAGTGGTCTCGGTTGCCCAGCCCGGGGACGAGGGCTTCGTTCAGCTAGACGACCGGTTGCTCCAAGAGCAACCGTCGTATATGCAGAAGCCCCAAGTCCACGAGCTGCGTAATCTGATGCCCGATGGGTATCAATTAACCTACCGGGCAACGTGGAAGAGCATTATTCCTCTCCACGCCGGTATGTCGATTGGTATCCATTACCATTCGATCAAGGACCTGGGTGAATTCTCTATTCATCCATTCAAAGTCCTTTTCCTTGAAACATACGGTATCATGCCCGGGCAGCTGGCCCCTAATGGTCACCGTCTGTTGGGCAGTTTCATCAATGTCTGCCGGTTTCTTCGTATCCCTCTTTCCCTTCGTCTCTTCGATCACATGTTCGATGTCTGGCCCAGGTCCAAGGAAACCCTTGGATTCGTGGTGGTGTCTTCCCACCAAGGCCGAGCATTCCTCTGCGGCCTTCCACCTTCTAACAAGAAGTGGAAGGACAAATATGTTTGTATCAAATTCCCCCCGGCTGCTTTCCCCTTTGCCCAAAATGTCTGGGGGAAGAGAATGAAGCGCCAGGTCAAACCTGCGGAAGCCGACGACCTGGTTGCCTGGGAAGCCACCCTCAAGGCCAGGGACGCCTCCACCCGCGGTCTTTATCACGTCGGGAAGTGGAGTGTCTACCCCGGCCGGGAGACTGATCCTGAGCCGGAGATTATCCTGCCCGGGGCCATCCCCGAAGCTATCCCCATCAGCCGGGCGAGGGGATCCAAAGCCCTGAGCACAACCACCGCCGGTCCTTCACGCCCGGCGAAGAAGAAGAAGGAGAAAGGTCAATCAACCGCCCTTCTCATTTTTATTTAAGTTAATCAACTTCGTTCTTCTAACCGATCTCTCTTTTTTTTTTGTTTTCAGTGGTAAAGTTTCAGTCTAAGTTCGCCATCCCTCAGATAGTAGTTGAGGAGCCTTCCACTGCTCAGCCACTCAATGCCTCCTCCAGCCAGCCGTTCTTGCTGGATGAACAACCGGCCCAGTCCCATCAGGGGACTAACCAGCCCATTCACTCGGGGGAACTCTACATTAATGTAGATACCTTTGAGTTCGACACCTTGATGGGGGAAACCGGGCATACCTCCCAGGCCGGCTAGGCGGGTCAACCCAACGTAGATGGCGAAGGCGAGGAAGAGGCTGCTGGAGAGTCCCTTCAGCGGAAGAGGCGGAAAACCAAGGAGGTCAACCAGCCATCCCATCCGGGGCCCCAGTCCTCTGATGCTGGCAAGGGACCCCTCGTGCCTCGATCTGTGGCCCTGATGTCCCGGTCGGACGAAGAGCTTTTCCAAGCTTTTCGTACCGACCTGAATGAGGTAATTTTTCTTTTTACCGTCTTCTTATTGCTTTTAACCATGTTTCTGAAATTTTTCATCTCTTTAAAGCAGGTCGGTCGGATTGGTGAGGAGTACTTCGCCCGGCTGGTGAAGTCCAAAGAAGAGGAGAAGGCACGGCTGGAGGCCATGATGGTTGAATGTCGGAAGGAAGCCCAAGCTGCCCGGGCTAAGGCAGAGAAGATAGAGGCGAAGTGGACGGAGCACTGCACGATCTACCGCCAGCTCGATGCCAAGCACGATGGTCTCCTCAAGGCTGCAAAAGAGGCCGACGAGCAGGCTCAGGCTAGGATCCAGCAACTGGAGGCCGAGAACGCCTGGGCTGCCGAGGAGGTCCAGAAGCTGGGGGCCGAGAACGCCCGATCTGCGGATGAGATTGCTCAGCTTGGAGACGAGCTGGCAAAGGAGCGGGCGGAGCGTGCTGCCCTTGCCGCTGCTTGGGCTGTTCAAGAGCCTGAGGAGTTTGCCGCTCAGGCGCTACCTGACCGGGAGACAGCCATCCGCTTCTTCCAAGGGCTATACAAGCACAAAGTGTCGGCCGGGATCGTGGATGAGATCGGCACCTTTGGCTTCGAAAGCGGTCAGTACACAGAGCGGCGGGCCCTCTATGGCATCCTTGAGCAGAGGATCCAAAGTTTCCGACCCAAGGCCCTTTCTCTGCCCGAGCTACATGATGAGGAGCCGGTCCTCCCATTCCCGGGCATTTGATTCATCCGGCCTTCTCTTTTTTTTTTATTTTCTGATGTAAGGATTTGCCTCCGGGCACTCTTTTGTAAGACGCTTAAATATTAATGTTAATGTAAGATTTTTCAACATCGTGTGCTGTGTGCTTCATTCCCTGTATTCTTCAACTTAATATTTCTAACCGCTTAGATTAGTAAATAATAGCACGGCTGTATTTACCTGGGTTAAAAACATAATTTCATCTAAGTCTTTTCGAAAGACCGGACAGTCGGCCGGGAAGACTTTATGTTTTATAAATTTCTTCCCGGTGATGTGTAACCCTCGATGGCGCATTGCTTGTCCTTTTCGAAAGGTTAAGCATTTGCCCGGGTGCTTGTAAGGCCGATCTGTTTCCACAATGGCTTAACGCCCTTGTGGAAAGGTAAACCTTAAGTTATTCTTCAGAACGATCTGGCTTAAACTGGCCGGGATGCTCTCCCTTTAGTTAAGCCAAATCGTTTCTAACTCCCGTGTCAGTACGGATGAGGTGTTGGATCGGTCAGACCGGTCCTTTTTTTTGCGCGTCCAATCCGATTGGAAATCTAACCGGGAAGATTGGTATGTAACCAATTACCGGTTGGTGTATGAGATCAATCTTTCTGGAAAGAACAAAGTTTTGTTATTGTCCGGGAACTCATTACACTTTATCTATAAAATTTACGTAAGTGGTGAGAGTTCCAATGTCGGTCGACCCGGCAACCTTCCATAGTTTCCAACTGGTAAGTGCCCGGTCTGACGATTGCTTTTATGCGATAGGGCCCTTCCCAGTTACGTACCAGCTTGCCCCTCTCATTAGGCTTACTAGCATCCCTTCTGCGCAAAACTTCATCATGCACTTGGAAATATCGCGGGCCTACCCGGTTGTCATGATACCGCTTTACTGACTGCTGGTAACCGGCCATCTTGACAGCTGCTGTGGTCCTTCGTTCTTCCACCAGGTTCAGCTCAGCGAGGTGGTCGACCTCATTCTAACCAGGCTGGTACACGGCTTCCCTAAATGTTGGAATTTCTGCCTCCACTGGTAGCCGGGCTTCACATCCGTAAGTGAGCACGAAAGGAGTCTCTCCAGTTTCTCTTCTTGAAGTCACTCTATGCGCCCAGACCGTATGAGGTAAGGCTTCCAACCATTTGTGTCCTTCCTCACCCAGTCTCTTTTTCAAACCGTCCACAATTGTTCGGTTGGCGTTTTCGACTTGGCCATTCCCCTGTGGATATGCTACCGACGCCTTGCTATACTTGACCCCGAAGCTAGCAAGGTATGCCGTGAACCGGGGGTTGCGAAACTGTGGCCCGTTGTCGGTGACAATGATTTTTGGGGCACCAAACCGGGTGATAATGTTTTTCCAAACAAATTTTTCACATTGTCGTACGGTTATGGTGGCCATTGCCTCATCCTCGATCCATTTAGTGAAGTAATCAATAGCCACCATCACGAACTTCTTTCCGCCTTGGGCAACCGGGAAGGCTCCAATAATGTCAATCCCAAACCGGGAAAATGGTATGACGTTAGAAGTCGGTTGGTAATATGTGGCCGGTCGGCCGGGATGTTTGTAAAAACCTGGCACGTCCTGCATCTCTGGACATACCTTTCACAATCTCCAACAATGGTCGGCCAGTAGTAGCCAAGCAATATTATTCTTTGAGCCAAAGTGCGGGACATCTGATGGGCTGCACAAACTCCCTCATGTACCTCAGCTATTACCCGTTCAGCTTCAGGATTGGTAAGGCAACGCAAGAGTGGTCCGCCAATGGCACGCTTGTATAGATGACCATCGATTACCTGGAAACGTGGAGCCCGTAGGACCACTTTCCTAGCTCGTTCCTCGTCATCCGGCTTCTGACCGGTCTCCAGATACTCCATGAGTTCGTACCTCCAGTCATCATCTGCTCCGATTATCCCGGTCGCTGAAGTCTGGCCCGGTTGGATGGCCGCGACTTCAAACGGTCTGTGCTCGGCACGGCCAGTATCTCGATTTTCGCCAACTTTGACACATGCTCCGGGCAGGCTTGCGTCAATTTTGAAAGCATATCTACATCAGCGTTTTCTGACCGGGGTATCCTGGTCAGACGAAACTCTTCTAACTCCCTTAGGAGTGCTCGGACCAAGTCACTATACCGGGCCAGGTGATCTTCCTTTACTTCCATCTCACCATTGACCTGTCCGACAACCAGACTTGAATCGGAACGGATCTTCATTCTTTTTACCCCGAGAGACCGGGCTAATCTGAGACCACCGGCCAATGCCTCATATTCCGCCTCATTATTAGTGAGTTTGAAATTAAAAACTAAGGCATGGTAGATCTTGAACCCTTCCGGCGTAGTGAAAACTACGCCGGCCGCGCATCCCTTCGGTCCAGAGGCCCCATCAACGGCCATATCCCACCACGGTTCGACCGTATGGGAAGGTCCGGCTTCGGGCTCTAGACCAGTCAGTTCGACGAGGAAGTCTGCCAAAGCTTGACCCTTAATTGCAGTCCTTGGTTTATATTCTATTTTGAACTGAGTGAGCATCATTGCCTATTTGATCAACCTTCCTGAGGAGGTTGAATTTCGAAGGACCGGTCCAAGTGGCTGATCGGTTAGTACTTCCACAGTGTGAGCTTGGAAGTACGCGGTCAGTTTCTTGGCTGTTATGAAAAGTGCGTATGCCGTTTTCTCAATGGCTGTGTACCGGCTTTCCGCCCCATTTAGTGCTTTGCTCACATAGTAAATAGGCCTCTAGCCGTCTTCATTTCTTATCAAAATAGAGCTTACAGCGTTTTGGGAAATTCCCAGATACAAGTATAAAATCTCACCCGATTTTGGTTTAGACAAAACAATATCAGAGACTAAGTACTCCTTCAGCTGCTGGAAAGCTTCTTTGCATTCCTGGTCCCACTCGAATGTATTAGCCTTCTTCAGAACCTTGAAGAAAGGCAGAGCCCTCTCAGCAGACCGGGAGAGAAAACGACTCAAGGCTGCCAACCGCCCGGTAAGTCGTTGTACGTCCTTCAGCGAACTGGGCGACCTCATTTCAGTTATGGCCTTAATCTTCTCCGGATTAGGCTCAATGCCACGCTTGGTTACCATGAACCCCAGGAACTTACCGGTCTTTACAGCAAAGACGCATTTCTTGGGGTTGAGACGCAAGTTGTACTTGGCCATAATCTCGAAGCAAAGCCTCATGTCGGCCGGGTGGTTCGTGGCGCTCGGGCTTTTGATGAGCATATCGTCCACATAGGCTTCCATGGACTTACCGAGGAGTGGATTAAAAAGCCGGTTTACCATCCTCTGATAGGTGGCGCCCGAGTTTTTTAGCCCAAAGGCCATCACTCGGTAACAATAAGTGCCTTCTGGTGTTAAGAAAGAAGTCTTCTCCTCGTCCTCCTTGGCCATGAAGATTTGATGATAGCCTTTGAAGGCATCCATGAAGCTCAGCAACTCACAACCAGCCGTCTCATCGACCATCTGATCGGGACTGGGCAGCGGGTATAAGTCCATTGGGCACGCCTTGTTCAGATCTGTATAGTCCACACACATGCGCCAGGTGTCACCTTTCGGAGCCAAGACGACGTTTGCTAACCAGGCTGGGTATTGTACTTCTCTTATGTGCCCGACCCCAACAAATCCTTCACTTCTTTTTTCACAAAGTCCCTCCGGACGTTCGCCAAGTGCCTCTTCTTCTGTTTCACAGGCCGGCTCCCTTCCTTCACATCCAAACGATGGCATATGACAGAACGGTCAATGCCCGGCATGTCCGCCACACTCCACGCGAAAGTATCTGCATATTCCCGAAGAACTGAGATGATTTCATCTCGAAGTCCTCCGGGCAGATCTCTTCCAATCCGTACCATTCTTTCCGGGAAAGCTTCCTGGAGAACAATCTGCTCGGTTTCATCGCCCGGTTCTAGCTTCAACCGGTCTTCCTCCTGAGAGACCAGAGTGACTCTCTCAAACGCCTTTGTCATTTTCTTTACAGCCTCCAAATAGCAATGCCGGGCCTTCTTTTGATCTCCTCTGACTTGTCCTATACCCCCCGGGGTATAGAATTTCATACAGAGATGGGCCATGGAGATGACCCCACGGACCTTATTTATTCCAGGCCGGCCCAAAATGGCATTGTGAACACATTTGATGTTCACAACTACAAACCTCATTTGCTTTTGGACGACCTGTTCACCTGTGCCCAGCTCACAAGTTAAAAGTATCGACGCTTCAGCTTCGACTGAGTCTCCGGTAAACCGGGAGTCTTTAAGGGCTCAAGCCGTGTTCGACACAACTTGAGCTTCTCAAATGCATCCAGGTACAACACGTTAACACTACTGCCCGTGTCAACGAGTACCCGGGAGACATCAACTCCACCCATGTCCATAGTTATCACCAGGGGGTCATTGTGGTCTTCTCCGGTGGCAGGAAGGTCCCGGTCAGTAAAAGTGATCGGTTCCCGTCTCGCTTGTTTCGACCGGGGATCTAGGGCCACCGTTCCAACGTAGAGCTCTCGCCCCCATTTCTTTCTTTAGGAAGCAGAATCTCCCCCTTCCGGTCCGCCGTAGATGACCTGTAAATGCTCCTTGCCGGCTGCTTTCTTCTTCTTGTTCTGTTCGGCCGGCTGTCCTTCAGGCCTAATGATGGTTGAGTTTTTCGGTAAGTCAACCTTCCCAATGAAGGGTTAGTTTTCTCCGAGTGTCGTGTCTCTCGAGGAGTGGACGAAGGGAATTAGCTAATTTTTCTAACTAGACGAAGGTTAGGACAAGTCTAGAAGTCTTCTCGATTTGATTTAATAAAAAGTAAACTAAACTAATGAGTGCTTTTGAGAAAAATAAAATAAATAGTACGGGTATATGACTAGACTTCGGGCCAAGGCATCATGTGAGTTAACTACTGTTGTCACATATTTAATCAATAATTGGAATAATAATATTTCTGTCACAAATATTTCATTAACTTATCCTCTCTCAAGGCAACATTAATGTGTTCTAAAAAGTTTGGCTTAATTAATTTTATATCCTCATGGACAAGGCAAAAACTAATTTCCAATTATTAATTAATTTTTCTCTCGACATAACTAATTAATTTAACATTAAAAATAATTCTAGAACAATTATTCCAATTATTAACTAAACATACAGAGTATATGCCCAAATTTAGCTAGGACCCTAATCTGGGCCTTAACCCATACTAGATATCAACAGTGCATAAAAGAAACGAACATTTTATTAAAATTGCAAGAATTTAAACTTACAACAGAGAGCAGAGTTGGAGCCACTTTGGGACAACCGGAACAAAAGTAAACTAAAATATTAAAATATAATTGAGAAAAGAACGGGGAATGGAATTCCGGGCCTTAAAGACCCGGAAGAAGGCTTGATTGTGAATGAAGGGCGAAGGCCTCCTTTTATAGGAGAAAATTTTGGTCCAGGCCTCTGACAGGCGTGGGCCTGAGGTCCAGGTGCACGCCTGGAGTGTTAGTGCTGCTGGCGATTGATGATGTGCGGCGGCTTGCACAATCAGGCAAATCAATTGCTGATGGGGTGAGTATTTTTTTTAACTTTGTTGATTTGATGATGATGATTTTGAGTTGACACATGAAATTGGACGCAACTCCCTTGCTGCTGCCACAGTAGGCCGGCCAGCCAAGTTGCGCCACGTGGCAGCACCTGGTTGGCCGGATTTTGATCCGGTCCGAAAATATTTTCTAAAAATACAGTCTTGCTCAAAATTTTATTCTGAACAACTTTTCCTTCTGTGCCGACTTCAAATTCCGAACAAATCTCTTTGCTCCGTTGCATTCTATTTGTACAATCTTTTACCTTTTTGGTACCACTTTTGACTCAACTTTTATTCTTTTTACAACTATACATAACTTTTGTGCACTTTTACAATTATGAATAAAAACTTATAAAAACTATTGAGAAATTGATTTGTTTAATCCAAAATTGGACCACAACACATTAAATATAGAGAAGATAAGTGCGTACAAAACGGACTTATCACCTAACCCATTGGTTTTTCTTTTGTTTGGCCTTGGCCAAATATTCCGGATCGATCTCCCCGACCTCAATCATCTGCTTAATTACTCCCTTCACACTGTTGCACTCCGCAATGTTATGGGAGTCAGTTTTGTGGAAGGAGCAATACTTCTCCGTCCATTGTTTTCCGCCGGTCGGTTTCTTCTCTGTTTTGACCGGCTTTACCTCCATGACTTCAGCCTTTTCCCTACCGGGCAGTTCAATTTCCTTTTTCAAAGGAATTTTTCCTTTGGAATGGCCCTGCTCGGCCTCCCTTTTGGACGACACCTGTGCTTCGGCGTCTGCATAATCCCAGGCTGTGTTGTAGGCCTCTTGATATGATTGGGGAGGCCTTCTGCAGAACTCTTTGTACAGTTCTCCGGACCGGAGCCCGGATACCAGGAGGGAGATGGTTGTTTTATCGTCCATCTCCTCCACCTTGTCAACTTCATCCTTCCACCGGGTGAGAAATTTGGTGAAATCCTCGTGCTCTCGCTGCCCGGCTTTACTTAAATAGGTAAACTTTTTCCTCTTTGTGCAGTTTTCTTTGAACTTTTCCTGAAACACCTCAGCCAGTTCATCGAAATTCATCGAAAGAATCGATCTCTCCGGCCGGTAAGTTATGAAACCACTCAATGGCGCGGCCGCGGAGGGTTTGAAAGAAAAGCAAACACTTCTCATCCCCGGAAAGACCCATCATCCGTCCGCTTTGATGGAGGGTTTTGACGTGAATTTCCGGGTCCTCCTTCCCGGTGAACTTTGGGACCTCAAGTTTTGCCTTCTTTGGAAATGGGGTTTCATGGACCCGGTCTGTGAACGGGGATTCGTTCAACAGAACTTTCTTCTTCTCTTCCCGGTCCACCCGGCGCTGTAGTTTCTCCAGACGTGCCTCCACCCGGTCCACACGATCCCGTGGTTCAACATGAGTACGAGTCATGTGCCTGGGGTGGCTCTCTGCTTCTTCTTCATGGGGCGCCCGGCTATGTTGGGGCTCTTCGCGATGGGGAGGTTCCGTGCGCCTGGTCTGACCAGGTCGCTCGGCTCCTCTACCCAGGCGATTAAAAGCACTCAACGGGGTTGTTTCCACCCCTAGTCGTTCTTTGGCAGGTCGGTTTTGATTTCGGCCTTCATGGCCAAGCCTTTGAAACGCTGACCTCCTGGACCCTTCAGGTTGAATAGCTTTTCCCTTCAGCTTCTTTTGTGCCTGGGGTACATCCCAATCCTCATCCCTACTATGGACTGATCGCACATCGCCATCAGGTGGGAGCAGAGATTTGTGAGATGACGGTTTCCTGATTGCTTGTCATGACTTTTTGTAATGAGGTCCCACAGGTGGCGCCAATTTGATGGTGTAAATTACCACGCAAATACTAAGTAAAAGTACTCGAAAGGGCTGTAGGTGGAAACACCTGTAACCCGGCTTGTTATTAATTAAAATAGGAACTTATTACAATCAGTACAGGCCGTGTGGATTAATTAAAGCATACCTCACAAATGAGGGTTTTAGGGGTATTTATAACAAAACTAAGCACGTCAAGCACGTCTCTAGTTATCCAACCGGTCATTCGTCTGTCCGGCTGCATAAGAGTACTACCCAACCGGCTTCACGACCCGGTCTGAGAAGGATGCGCTCTGTCACTTACGTCACCACCCAGTCGGACGAACCAACCGGGTGGTATCCATGGGTTATTACCCATCACTATGCATGTGGGTTTTGCAAATATTATGAACGAGTTAAAAATTCAGACTTCGACAAATTCTTTTATGATCCTAAGGTTCACATTCATTTTATAAATTTTAATATATAAATACCATGCATAAATTGACTCAATTGAGCTATTTGAAAAAAATAACATATTCCTTTTCCACGTTGATGGGTAATAACCCATGGATACCACCCGGTTGGTTCGTCCGACTGGATGGTGACGGAAGTGACAGAGCGCATCCTTCTCAGACCGGGTCGTGAAACCGGTTGGGTAGTACTCTTATGCAGCCGGTCAGCCGAATGACCGGTTGGATAACCAGAGACGTGCTTAGTTTTGTTATAAATACCCCTAAAACCCTCATTTGTGAGGAAGGCTTTAATTAATCCACACGGTCTGTACTGATTGTAATAAGTTCCAATTTTAATTAATAACAAGCCGGGTTACAGGTGTTTCCACCTACAGCCCTTCCGATTACTTTTACTTAGTATTTGCGTGGTAATTTACCCCATCAAATTGGCGCCCACCGTGGGGCCTATTACAAAAAGTCATGACAAGCAATCAGGAAACCGTCATCTCACAAGTCTCTGCTCCCGTTGAGAACATCGCCTCGTTCCCGGGAGGGAGTGCGCAACCCTCAAACCAGATTCCTACCCCCATCATCACCATTCCAACACCTACTCCATTCACTTCCCCCGTTACCTCTATCCCTATTTTTTCTCCAAATTTCCCCGGGCCCGTGGACCCGCTGTTTTCACAGGCATTCCAAAATTTTTGACAGTTCATGTCCATGTTTCAACAGCCGGGGGGATTTTCACCTTTCATTCCCGGGTTATATCCACAATCCTTGCCCCAAACTAATATCATCCGCTCGGTCGCTCCAACAAACTTGATCGGAGAGATGGACAAAGCTGGTCCGTCCCGGTCCAAAAGGAGTCGGTCCCGAAGGTCACGCACGCAGATCACGCCTGATGGCGATGTGCGATCAGTCCATAGCAGGGATGAGGATTGGGATGTACCCCAGGCACAAAAGAAGCTGAAGGGAAAAGTTATTCAACCTGAAGGGTCCAGGAGGTCAGCGTTTCAAAGGCTTGGCCATGAAGGCCGAAATCAAAACCGACTAACCAAAGAACGACTAGGGGTGGAAACAACCCCGTTGAGTGCTTTTGATCGCCTGGGTAGAGGGGCCGAGCGACCTGGTCAGACCAGGCGCACGGAACCTCCTCATCGCGAAGAGCCCCAACATAGTCGGGCGCCCCATGAAGAAGAAGCGGAGAGCCACCCCAGGCACATGACTCGTACTCATGTTGAACCACGGGATCGTGTGGGCCGGGTGGAGGCACGTCTGGAGAAACTACAGCGCCGGGTGGACCGGGAAGAGAAGAAGAAAGTTCTGTTGAACGAATCCCCGTTCACAGACCGGGTCCATGAAACCCCATTTCCAAAGAAGGCAAAACTTGAGGTCCCAAAGTTCACCTGGAAGGAGGACCCGGAAATTCACGTCAAAACCCTCCATCAAAGCGGACGGATGATGGGTCTTTCCGGGGATGAGAAGTGTTTGCTTTTCTTTCAAACCCTCCGCGGACGCGCCGCTGAGTGGTTTCATAACTTACCGGCCGGAGAGATCGATTCTTTCGATGAACTGGCTGAGGTGTTTCAGGAAAAGTTCAAAGAAAACTGCACAAAGAGAAAAAAGTTTACCTATTTAAGTACAGCCGGGCAGCGAGAGCACGAGGATTTCACCAAATTTCTCACCCGGTGGAAGGATGAAGTTGACAAGGTGGAGGAGATTGACGATAAAACAGCCATGTCCCTCCTGGTATCCGGGCTCCGGTCCGGAGAACTGTACAAAGAGTTCTGCAAAAGGCCACCCCAATCATATCAAGAGGCCTACTACACAGCCTGGGATTATGCAGACGCCGAAGCACAGGTGTCGTCCAAAAGGGAGGCCGAGCAGGGCCATTCCAAAGGAAAAATTTCTTTGAAAAAGGAAGTTCAACTGCCCGGTAGGGCAAAGGCTGAAGTCATGGAGGTAAAGCCGGTCAAATCAGAGAAGAAACCGACCGGTGAAAAACAATGGACGGAGAAGTATTGTTCCTTCCACAAAACTGATTCCCATAACACTGCGGAATGCAACAGTGTGAAGGGAGTAATCAAGCAAATGATTGAGGCTGGAGAGATTGATCCGGAATATTTGGCCCAGGCCAAACAAAAGAAAAACCAATGGGTTAGGCCTGAAGGACAGCCGGCCGAACAGAACAAGAAGAAGAAAGCAGCCGGCAAGGAGCATTTAAAGGTCATCTACGGCGGACCAGAAGGGGGAGATTCTGCTTCTCAAAGAAAGAAATGGGGGCGAGAGCTCTACGTTGGAACAGTGGCCCTAGATCCCCGGTCGAAACAAGCGAGACGGGAACCGATCACTTTTACTGACCGGGACCTTCCTGCCAACGGAGAAGACCACAATGACCCCCTGGTGATAACTATGGACATGGGTGGAGTTGATGTCTCCCGAGTACTCATTGACACGGGCAGTAGTGTTAACGTGTTGTACCTGGATGCATTTGAGAAGCTCAAGTTGTGTCGAACACGGCTTGAGCCCTTAAAGACTCCCCTGTCTGGGTTTACCGGAGACTCAGTCGAAGCTGAAGGGTCGATCCTTTTAACTTGTGAGCTGGGCACAGGTGAACAGGTCGTCCAAAAGCAAATGAGGTTTGTAGTTGTGAACATCAAATGTGTTCACAATGCCATTTTGGGCCGGCCTGGAATAAACAAGGTCCGTGGGGTCATCTCCATGGCCCATCTCTGTATGAAATTCTATACCCCGGGGGGTATAGGACAAGTCAGAGGAGATCAAAAGAAAATGACAAAGGCGTTTGAGAGAGTCACTCTGGTCTCTCAAGAGGAAGACCGGTCGAAGCTAGAACCGGGCGATGAAACCGAGCAGATTGTTCTCCGGGAAGCTTTCCCGGAAAGAATGGTACGGATTGGAAGAGATCTGCCCGGAGGACTTCGAGATGAAATCATCTCAGTTCTTCGGGAATATGCATATATTTTCGCGTGGAGTGTGGCGGACATGCCGGGCATTGACCGTTCTGTCATATGCCATCGTTTGGATGTGATGGAAGGGAGCCGGCCTGTGAAACAGAAGAAGAGGCACTGGCGAACGTCCGGAGGGACTTTGTGAAAAAAGAAGTGAAGGATTTGTTGGCGGTCGGGCACATAAGAGAAGTACAATACCCAGCCTGGTTAGCAAACGTCGTCTTGGCTCCGAAAGGCGACACCTGGCGCATGTGTGTGGACTATACAGATCTGAACAAGGCGTGCCCAATGGACTCATACCCGCTGCCCAGTCCCGATCAGATGGTCGATGAGACGGCCGGTTGTGAGTTGCTGAGCTTCATGGATGCCTTCAAAGGCTATCATCAAATCTTCATGGCCGAGGAGGACGAGGAGAAGACTTCTTTCTTAACACCGAAAGGCACTTATTGTTACCGAGTGATGGCCTTTTGGCTAAAAAACTCGGGCGCCACCTATCAGAGGATGGTAAACCGGCTTTTTAAGCCACTCCTCGGTAAGTCCATGGAAGCCTATGTGGACGATATGCTGATCAAAAGCCCGAGCGCCATGAACCACCCGGCCGACATGAGGCTTTGCTTCGAGATTATGGCCAAGTACAACTTGCGTCTCAACCCCAAGAAATGCGTCTTTGCTGTAAAGACCGGTAAGTTCCTGGGGTTCATGGTAACCAAGCGTGGCATTGAGCCTAATCCGGAGAAGATTAAGGCCATAACTGAAATGAGGTCGCCCAGTTCGCTGAAGGACGTACAACGACTTACCGGGCGGTTGGCAGCCTTGAGTCGTTTTCTCTCCCGGTCTGCTGAGAGGGCTCTGCCTTTCTTCAAGGTTCTGAAGAAGGCTAATACATTCGAGTGGGACCAGGAATGCGAAGAAGCTTTCTAGCAGCTGAAGGAGTACTTAGTCTCTGATATTGTTTTGTCTAAACCCAAACCGGGTGAGATTTTGTACTTGTATCTGGGAATTTCCCAAAACGCTGTAAGCTCTGTTTTGATAAGAAATGAAGACGGCTAGAGGCCTATTTACTATGTGAGCAAAGCACTAAATGGGGCGGAAAGCCGGTACACCACCATTGAGAAAACGGCATACACACTTTTCATAACAGCCAAGAAACTGACCGCGTACTTCCAAGCTCACACTGTGGAAGTACTAACCGATCAGCAACTTGGACCGGTCCTTCGAAATTCAACCTCCTCAGGAAGGTTGATCAAATGGGCAATGATTCTCACTCAGTTCAAAATAGAATATAAACCAAGGACTGCAATTAAGGGTCAAGCTTTGGCAGACTTCCTCGTCGAACTGACTGGTTTAGAGCCCGAAGCCGGACCTTCCCATACGGTCGAACCGTGGTGGGATATTGCCGTTGATGGGGCCTCTGGACCGAAGGGATGCGGGGCCGACGTAGTCTTCACTACGCCGGAAGGGTTCAAGATCTACCATGCCTTAGTTTTTAATTTCAAACTCACTAATAATGAGGCGGAGTATGAGGCATTGGCCGGTGGTCTCAGATTAGCCCGGTCTCTCGGGGTAAAAAGGATGAAGATCCGTTCCGATTCAAGTCTGGTTGTCGGACAGGTCAATGGTGAGATGGAAGTAAAGGAAGATCGCCTGGCCCGGTATAGTGACCTAGTCCGAGCACTCCTAAGGGAGTTAGAAGAGTTTCGTCTGACCATGATACCCCGGTCAGAAAACGCTGATGCAGATATGCTTTCAAAATTGACGCAAGCCTGCCCGGAGCATGTGTCAAAGTTGGCGAAAATCGAGATACTGGCCGTGCCGAGCACAGACCGGTTTGAAGTCGCGGCCATCCAACCGGGCCAGACTTCAGCGACCGGAATAATCGGAGTAGATGATGACTGGAGGTACGAACTCATGGAGTATCTGGAGACCGGTCAGAAGCCGGATGACGAGGAACGAGCTAGGAAAGTGGTCCTACGGGCTCCACGTTTCCAGGTAATCGATGGTCATCTATACAAGTGTGCCATTGGCGGACCACTCTTGCGTTGCCTTACCAATCCTGAAGCTGAACGGGTAATAATAGCTGAGGTACATGAGGGAGTTTGTGCAGCCCATCAGATGTCACGCACTTTGGCTCAAAGAATAATATTGCTTGGCTACTACTGGCCGACCATTGTTGGAGATTGTGAAAGGTATGTCCAGAGATGCAGGACGTGCCAGGTTTTTTACAAACATCCCGGCCGACCAGCCACATATTACCAACCGACTTCTAACGTCATACCATTTGCCCGGTTTGGGATTGACATTATTGGAGCCTTCCCGGTTGCCCAAGGCGGAAAGAAGTTCGTGATGGTGGCTATTGATTACTTCACTAAATGGATCGAGGCTGAGGCAATGGCCACCATAACCGTACGACAATGTGAAAAATTTGTTTGGAAAAACATTATCACCCGGTTTGGTGTCCCAAAAATCATTGTCACCAACAACGGGCCACAGTTTTGCAACCCCCGGTTCACAGCATACCTTGCTAGCTTCGGGGTCAAGCATAGCAAGGCGTCGGTAGCATATCCACAGGGGAATGGCCAAGTCGAAAACGCCAACCGGACAATTGTGGACGGTCTAAAAAAGAGACTGGGTGAGGAAGGACACAAATGGTTGGAAGCCTTACCTCATACGGTCTGGGCGCATAGAGTGACTTCAAGAAGAGCAACTGGAGAGACTCCTTTCGTGCTCACTTACGAATGTGAAGCCCGGCTACCAGTGGAGGCAGAAATTCCAACATTTAGGGAAGCCGTGTACCAGCCCGGTCAGAATGAGGTCGACCACCTCGCTGAGCTGAACCTGGTGGAAGAACGAAGGACCACAACAGCTGTCAAGATGGCCGGTTACCAGCAGTCAGTAAAGCGGTATCATGACAACCGGGTAGGCCCGCGATATTTCCAAGTGCATGATGAAGTTTTGCGCAGAAGGGATGCTAGTAAGCCTAATGAGAGGGGCAAGCTGGTACGTAACTGGGAAGGGCCCTATCGCATAAAAGCAATCCTCAGACCGGGCACTTACCAGTTGGAAACTATGGAAGGTGGCCGGGTCGACCGAAAGATTCATCTCATACACCAACCGGTAATTGGTTACATACCAATCTGCCCGTTTAGATTTCCAATCGGATTGGACGCGCCAAAAAAAAGACCGGTCTGACCGATCCAACACCTCATCCGTACTGACACGGGAGATAGAAACGATTTGGCTTAACTAAAGGGAGAGCATCCCGGCCAGTTTAAGCCAGATCGTTCTGAAGAATAACTTAAGGTTTACCTTTCCACAAGGGCGTTAAGCCATTGTGGAAACAGATCGGCCTTACAAGCACCCGGGCAAATGCTTAACCTTTCGAAAAGGACAAGCAATGCGCCATCGAGGGTTACACATCACCGGGAAGAAATTTATAAAACATAAAGTCTTCCCGGCCGACTGTCCGGTCTTTCGAAAAGACTTGGATGAAATTATGTTTTTAACCCGGGTAAATACAGCCGTGCTATTATTTACTAATCTAAGCGGTTAGAAATATTAAGTTGAAGAATACAGGGAATGAAGCACACAGCACACGATGTTGAAAAATCTTCCATTAACATTAATATTTAAGCGTCTTACAAAAGAGTGCCCGGAGGCAAATCCTTACATCAGAAAATAAAAAAAAAAAGAGAAGGCCGGATGAATCAAATGCCCGGGAATGGGGGGACCGACTCCTCATCATGTAGCTCGGGCAGAGAAAGGGCCTTGGGTCGGAAACTTTGGATCTTCTGCTCAAGGATGCCATAGAGGGCCCGCCGTTCTGTGTACTGACCGCTTTCGAAGCCAAAGGTGTCGGTCTCATCCACGATCCCGGCCGACACTTTGTGCTTGTATAGCCCTTGGAAGAAGCGGATGGCTGTCTCCCGGTCAGGTAGCGCCTGAGCGGCAAACTCCTCAGGCTCTTGAACAGCCCAAGCAGCGGCAAGGGCAGCACGCTCCGCCCGCTCCTTTGCCAGCTCGTCTCCAAGCCGAGCAATCTCCTCCGCAGATCGGGCGTTCTCGGCCCCCAGCTTCTGGACCTCCTCGGCAGCCCGGGCGTTCTCAGCCTCCAGTTGCTGGATCCTAGCCTGAGCCTGCTCGTCGGCCTCTTTTGCAGCCTTGAGGAGACCATCGTGCTTGGCATAGAGCTGGCGGTAGATCGTGCAATGCTCCGTCCACTTTGCCTCTATCTTCTCTACCTTAGCTTGGGCAGCTTGGGCTTCCTTCCGACATTCAACCATCATGGCCTCTAGCCGTGCCTTCTCCTCTTCTTTGGACTTCACCAGCCGGGCGAAGTACTCCTCACCAATCCGACCGACCTGCTTTAAAGAGATGAAAAATTTCAGAAACATGGTTAAAAGCAATAAGAAGACAGTAAAAAGAAAAATTACCTCATTCAAGTCGGTACGAAAAGCTTGGAAAAGCTCTTCGTCCGACCGGGACATCAGGGCCACAGATCGAGGCACGAGGGGTCCCTTGCCAGCATCGGAGGACTGGGGCCCCCGATGGGATGGCTGGTTAACCTCCTCGGTTTTCCGCGTCTTCCGCTGAAGGGACTCTCCAGCAGCCTCTTCCTCGCCTTCGCCATCCACGTTGGGTTGACCCGCGTGGCCGGCCTGGGAGGTATGCCCGGTTTCCCCCATCAAGGTGTCGAACTCGAAGGTATCTACATTAATGTAGAGTTCCCTCGAGTGAATGGGCTGGTTAGTCCCCTAATGGGACTGGGCCGGTTGTTCATCCAGCAAGAACGCCTAGCTGGAGGAGGCATTGAGTGGCTGAGCAGTGGAAGGCTCCTCAACCACTATCTGAGGGATGGCGAACTTGGACTGAAACTTTACCACTGAAAACAAAAAAAAAGAGAGACCGGTTAGAAGAACGAAGTTGATTAACTTAAATAAAAATGAGAAGGGCGGTTGATTGACCTTTCTCCTTCTTCTTCTTCGCCGGGCGTGAAGGGGATATCTTCGGGGATGGCCCCGGGCAGGATAATCTCCGGGTCAGGATCAGTCTCCCGGCCGGGGTAGACACTCCACTTCCCGACGTGATAAAGACCGCGGGTGGAGGCGTCCCCGGCCTTGAGGGTGGCTTCCCAGGCAACCAGGTCGTCGGCTTCCGCAGGTTTGACCTGGCGCTTCATTCTCTTCCCCCAGACATTTTGGGCAAAGGGGAAAGCAGCCGGAGGGAATTTGATACAAACATATTTGTCCTTCCACTTCTTGTTAGAAGGTGGAAGGCCGCAGAGGAATGCCCGGCCTTGGTGGGAAGACACCACCACGAATCCAAGGGTTTCCTTGGACCCGGGCCAGATATCGAACATGTAGTCAAAGAGACGAAGAGAGAGAGAGGAATACGAAGAAACCGGCAGACATTAATGAAACTGCCCAACAAACGGTGACCATTAGGGGCCAGCTGCCCGGGCATGATACCGTATGTTTCAAGGAAAAGGACTTTGAATGGATGAATAGAGAATTCACCCAAGTCCTTGATCGAATGGTAATGGATACCAATCGACGTACTGACGTGGAGAGGAATAATGCTCTTCCACGTTGCCCGGTAGGTCAATTGGTACCCGTCCGGCATCAGGTTGCGCACCTCGTGGATTTGGGCCTTCTGCATGACCGACGATTGCGTTTGGAGCAACCGGTCGTCCAGCTGAATAAAACCCTCATCCCCGGGTTGGGCAACCGACACCACTTGCGCCACGGAAGAAGAAGGAGCGCAAGTGGAAGCATCAATCGGCTTCTTCTGTGGAGAAGTAGCCGGGTGCTCAGAGTCGGAAGAGGAAGAGGAACCAAATGTTGGAGACCGGCCACCAGAACCGTAAGAGTGAACGGAAGGGTTCTGGCTATCCTCACGGTCTGACATGACTCAGAAAAGGAAAGAAAGAAACTTACTTGGAGACGGTTAGAAGACTCGGAGGACTCGTGAAAAAGCAAAAGCAGCCGGGCAGTTTTTGAATTGAAGATTTGCAAGTGAGGAAATTCTAGGGAGAACCTCGCTTTATATAGGGGGAGTGCCGCCCTGACGGACGAATGGCAGAATGACACGTGGCGAGCGAAATGATTTCTCATCATAACCTCTCGGGAAGACGAAATGGCACAATGAATCGGCGGCTCCGTACCCGACTTCGAGAAGATTCTCCCGCCTTGGACACCCGGTTTTCGAAATTTAAATTTTGAAAATTCAAATTTCAAGTATATTGGGTTGGCGCTGGTTTTCCGAGACGATTTTCCCGCCAAAAAGCGACTGGGCAGTTCAAATTTTAAGAAATAATCGCATGTGCTTCCCGCCCCTGATGGTCCCCACAAGACCGGGAATCGGAGGACTCCTTGATGGGTAATAACCCATGGATACCACCCGGTTGGTTCGTCCGACTGGATGGTGACGGAAGTGACAGGGCGCATCCTTCTCAGACCGGGTCGTGAAACCGCTTGGGTAGTACTCTTATGCAGCCGGTCAGCCGAATGACTGGTTGGATAACCAGAGACGTGCTTGACGTGCTTAGTTTTGTTATAAATACCCCTAAAACCCTCATTTGTGAGGAAGGCTTTAATTAATCCACACGGTCTGTACTGATTGTAATTAGTTCCAATTTTAATTAATAACAAGCCGGGTTACAGGTGTTTGCACCTACAGCCCTTCCGATTACTTTTACTTAGTATTTGCGTGGTAATTTACCCCATCACACGTAGATTTTGGGATATTGAAAGCACAACTCTATAATTAATTTAATTTACAATATGGATTCAGCAAATGGAATTTGGTACCAAAAAAATCAACGCGTTATATTTTATTTGGGTATTTTTGTGTTTTTTTTTCAATTCTAATTAAACGGTAATGTTATTTTGGTTTCTAATTTTTAAATTTTTTTTTATTGGTTTGTATGTTTTAAAATTAATTCAAGGTTAATTATTAAAAAATAGTTGTAGTAATTTTTTTTGTTTTTCATCATTTAAAGTTAATTATTAAAAAATAGTTGTAGTAATTTAGCGAATTGGCATACGTACACCTCCATTTCTACTAAAAAAAGTATGAAACTAGTAAAATTTGATGTGCCGCAAATGTGGAGAGAGATAATGTACTAAGAAAGATATGAATAGTATGTATACCCTTCACCCTTATTTAGTGTTAGGTACTCCGTATAACTTTTTTTCAATTTATTTATATATTCTACATGACTGAGGCCTTGTTTGAGAAGATCGTTTTCAATTAGCATTAACATTCTAAATAAAATTTTAACGGTATTGATTAATTTTGAAAACGCTAAAGCTAACGTCAAAACTCATACAAAAGAGGGTTTGAATGTTTTTATCGCCATGGTGCATCATTTGTGCTTTCAGATATTTTTATTTATTTACTTTTTGTGTTTTGTTTTCACACTATTACCATTTTGGTTCCCTCAAAAGTTGCTAAATCTGAAAGCTGCAGCTGCATATCATTAATGATTTCAAGGATTTCCTACAGGTTCTTATATTGCATTTTCTCACTGTATGCATATCACACAGAGAAGATGTGTATATATAGACACACATTCATGTATATATGTAGCGAGCATTTGCTCTTATATTTATAGAAACTTCCACAAGAACGATATACGGAGTAACATACATCTGGAGTTGGACCTGAAGTTGCAGATCTAGGGTTTTCGCAGAGATAAGCCGGTGTGGATTTTGTTTTTGCTTTTGTTTTTTTTGCTATAAAATGGTAATTGATTTTCTGTTTTTTTCTGTTTTTTTGCGCAGAAACATATCGTTTTGATTTTCTTTATTTTTTTGGGTTTCTTTTTGGTGTTTGCTTTTCGTTTTCCCCAAGCTGGTTTTGTGTTTTTGCTTCCATGGATTTTGTTTTTGAATGTGCGTTTGAAAACGCGATTCAGTGAAGGCATTAAAAGTGACAGAGGTGTTTTTTTGTGTGATCTGTGTAGATTTTAAAATTGGAGATTGGAAAAGAGCGTGTGAAGAAGATGAGCGAAGGCCAACGGTTTCAGCTGGGGACAATTGGCGCGCTCAGCTTGTCGGTGGTGTCTTCCGTCTCTATTGTGATTTGCAACAAGGCCCTTATCAGCTCCCTTGGTTTCACATTTGGTGAGTTTGGATCCTCTTTGTTCTTGTTTTTTTTTCGTTCTAAAAAAATACAATTTGCTCGCTTCGTGATAGCCAATCATCATTGGATATGAATGTTTACCAGTAAGTAGGGATATAATTTGCTCGCAAGTGATTTATTTAAATCAGAAAGCGCTTTCGTTTTTCTTGTCGTCTTTCCCCAAAACTCCCTTTGTGGGGCATTAGGATTTAATGTATGTAGGAAATAGTTGTGCTCGATTGAAATAACTGTTTGATTCAGAAAAGTTATAGTTATAGAATTCATTTTAATTTGAGGATCATGGAATTCTTATTTTTCTCGGGGGACGGGATCGTGATTTATAATACCTTTAAAAGATCCCAATTTTATCTCCTAATATCAATGCTTATTTCGTCAGCTACAACTTTGACGAGTTGGCATCTTCTAGTCACCTTTTGTTCCCTTCACGTGGCACTATGGATGAAATTTTTTGAGCACAAGCCTTTTGATCCAAGAGCTGTCATGGGATTCGGAGTGCTGAATGGGACTTCCATTGGCCTTCTCAATCTGAGTCTAGGGTTCAATTCTGTTGGCTTTTATCAGGTAAATCCTTCATTTCTTTCTAATTAGAGCAGTTTCACGCTTCTACATTGTACAAAATTGCGTTCATAAATGTTTAATGAATGCTGTTGCTATACTAATCACATGCCTACACGAGAGACCTCTTCTTCTAGAAGGGTATATTGCTATTTTATATCATTGTGAGAAGTAGCTGCCAAATTGGCATTATGGTTCAGGTCAATGGGTGGGAAGTTCTTTTTCATAACCAAAAGAACGAGGATTTTAATTAATGGGAAATAAGGTGGTACACGACCTAATGTAATTGGTTAAACCTCCCATATCAGAAATTACAGCACAACGAGTGAGTGGAGAGAATTCCGAAAGCTAAGAAAATAAACATAATAAGGCCTTGTTCTTTTGGGTTGGAAAAATTAACTTCCAACTCCTTTCAACTTCTTCCAGTTTCTTCCAACAACGACCCAACAAAGGTATTTATATATGATGGATATACAATAACATTATATATCAAAATTTATAAAATACCACTTCAAGCACGGACATGAATGAATTACTTTTTATCTAAAATTAGAGTTTTCTTACATTTTTATTTGGGTGATCATTTAATTGAGTGATTTCTTAACACTTGAATTCTTCCAACGTTTTCCAACTTCTTCTTGTTTCTTCCAATATCCAACTCTGAAATTCCTACCTAAAAAAGCGGGGCCTAAGACAAATCTCGCTCAAAGGAGGCTATAGAGTGAGATCAAGAAAAATCTAATATTAGCAAAATATGAGCTTCATCAGCACGCTTTGCCCACTGATTTTAAAGCAACTCCACGGAAAACATGCTGTGAATATAGATCTTGGCTTTGACTGTTCATTCTCTCTCTCTCTCTCTCTCTCTCTCTCAAAAAAGCCTTCTTATTAGCTCTCCACATCTCCTTAACACATCATACTTGTCATGAATGACATAAGCGAGTGAAGCAATGTCGAATAATTCAACTCCAGCCACCATTGATGTCTTGATGACAAACTTGTCAAGTAGTGAGGGAATTTGTAATAGTGATTCTAAAAACAGAAGCCTGAACCTGTTGCACCGATGCATATCTGAATTGAAAGTGATCAGATCTGGCCTCTGCAGAGTTATTCAGCTAGAACCTCCACATGAAAATAGAGATGTGATTCGAACATGGGATTTCGAAATGCATTGCTGCAAAACAATTTTAGGTCTCTTTAGGCATACCTCTTTATAGGCAGAGGATATAGTAAATAAACCATTTGTAGAGGGCTTCCATAGTTCCATATGATTTGCTTCCAAAAGAAAGAATCAGTGTGATTCATCAGAAGGATTGCCTAAATCCTTACAACTACTCCTCATGAAACAGCCCCCCCCCCTCTCTACTAGATAGCATATCTTATGCCTAGAAGCCCAGCAATACAACAAAACCCTTCCATACCCCACCCACCCACCCAGATAAGTTGGCCATATTGTTCCAACAGATGAATGCCCTGCTATGTAGTGTCTATACTCTCTTTCCTTCAATGGTGATGGCATGATACTCTTAAGTTTTGGTGTTTTGTTGAACTTGTGTTTGTCTGACTGACTTCTTTCTTATATATTTTATTAATTGTAGATGACAAAATTGGCAATCATCCCCTGTACGGTTCTTTTGCAGACTCTGTTCTTTAGGAAGCAATTCAGGTGGACTACCTTTTCTTTGATTTTCAAAAAGGGAGCTCTAAGTCTCTTACTGTATTACAAGATTTCACTAAAGGCATAATAAACTTCCCTTGCTTCTTACTCTCTATGAAGTTTTGGGAAGTAAATACAGCAATGCATCTAGAGTCTAATGGAATTGGAGGTTATTGTTAATCCTATACTATGGGTTTTATTATTTATGAAATTGCTGGTATATTGTGCATTTCTGTTTAGCCACTTTAGCCTAATCTATGTGCATTGAGTAACAAATTTGTTCATTAATGTCCACCTTTCTACGATTTTGCAGTAGGAATGTCCAGATTGCATTGGCTATCCTCCTATTTGGTGTTGGAATTGCAACAGTTACTGATCTACAGCTCAACTTATTGGGCTCTATTCTATCTCTGCTTGCCATTATCACGACTTGCATTGCACAGATTGTATCCTCAGACGTTGCTTGCAATTAGTTTTTTTTCCAAACCACCATTTCTATACACACTTCAGCATCATTATCAACCCTTTAATCCCAACAAGTTGGGGTCTTTGGCAATTTGGCATTAAATTTGTGGTGCCAATTAATTGTTTAAATTAATTAACACTAAATTCTTGCAGAAAGCATATTGTGGCAATGCTTTGTGGCCTATGCCCCATCAAAACCTTCATAAGGAACTATGCGATGAAAATTCTAAAACTGTCATCATCATTGAATATTTAAGCATGAAAATATCATGACCGACATGAAATTACAAACATGGGACTAACCATTAGATACACATATACTGACATACATATATATATGGATGCATACAAATATCACTTACAATTAGGAGTCTGTCATGGTTGAAATGTTACTATACATGTCTCTTGTTCTTGTTCCATGCCAATTCTTTGGGAATCTTAACCAGTCTCACCCAGATGACTAATACCATCCAGAAGAAGTTCAAGGTTTCTTCCACACAGCTTCTTTACCAATCATGCCCTTATCAAGCAATTACTCTGCTTGTAACTGGGCCGTTTGTTGATGGGCTTTTAACAAATAAAAATGTGTTCGCATTCAACTACACTCCAAAAGTGCTGGTAAGGGATACAATTCATTCAATCCTATCTTCGTTGTATGCTTATAATTACTGAAAAATCAATTAACACTTTAAAATCTGTTGGCAGGCGTTCATTGTTCTATCTTGCTTAATATCAGTTTCTGTGAACTTCAGTACTTTTCTTGTAATTGGGAAGACATCTCCAGTGACATACCAAGTATTAGGACATTTGAAAACATGCCTTGTGTTAGCCTTTGGATATGTTCTCCTTCACGACCCTTTCAGCTGGCGGAACATCCTAGGTATCTTTGTTGCCGTGGTCGGAATGGTAGTATATTCATATTATTGCACTATTGAGAGCCAGCAAAAGGCTAGCGAAGCATCAGCACAGGTGTCTCAGGTACTTCCACCATTATTTTTCATCACCAACATTACAGCCTTCATCCCAAAGGAAATATGGCATATGCATCTCATGTTTTACCCCCATATTTGACCTGTGATCCATGTTTTACTTTCTTTGATTGCACCCCACAGATTTTATGCCCCATGTTTTATTTCCTTTAAGTTTGCAACATAGAGTGAGTCATTTCCATTATACTGTGCACAACCCATTCCGGATTTCTAGGTGTTCTGCCACTTCTGTGCCTCTATGGTTAAAAATCAAACATTGGGGTAAAACATGTGGCACAAAGTCAAGTCTTTGGGTAAAACATGGGGCACCAAAAAACAATACTCTAGGGTTTGCATTTCTCCTTTATATGTCCAAAAAAAAAACTCTCTGACTTCGTTATAATATATTAATCTCATGTGCAATTTGAAGGCAAAGGAAAACGAATCTGATCCTCTGATAAATGCCGAAAAAGGTGGCATTCTAGCCGATAGTGCCAAATCATCCCCCGGTTGGAATTCAAGCAAGGACTTGCAGGCATAATAATGCTTCTTCAAATGATTATCATTCTTCATTCTTTGGCTTGCCCTCTCATCCACACCAGGAAAATTACTTCAGTGATGAAGATGTTGCTGTGAGGATTTCCCTTCATCATCATCAGAGAGTAATGTGTATGGGCAAATTATAAACACAAAAAAATGTTTTACTGTTCTTTTAGTGCCAAAGAATATGTGCTTCTTCCACAGCAGTTTTGCTATCAAGTCATGTACGAGTAAGCAGTACACTTTTAGGAATATATATATATATATATATATATATATATATATATATATATATATATATATATATATATATATAAATTTTTTATATTTCGACTGGAGAACATTATAGTTGTCACAGGAAACACAGATATATACACACTTCCGCATTTGTACGAGAAAAAACAGGTTGTCTTTAACCCCTTTTTTTCATATGAATTGAAGTGAGAAATGATGTTGCAGTTGGGTATGAATCACCTGATATGATTTCCTGGTTTCCCTCGTATTGCAGGGAAATGCTTTTGCTTTTTGAACACCAAAGTTGCATACGCCAACATGTATGCTACACAAATTTCTTTTCTTTTTTGTTGTTGTTCTCCCATAGGAACAAAAATGGTTGTGTGTGGGGTGTATAAGCTAGTGTGCAATTCTTGGTGTGCACATAGCAAAGACCATTAAATTATACCACTCAAAATGAAAGATGTTCATTACTTCTTTTTATCAGTCTCAAGTTTTATGGTGTTTGGTTCAAAGTTTTGGGAAATAAACTTTGAATTACTCTTATGCAACTATTTTGAAAAAGAGAAAAGAAATGCGGAGTAGTTTTTGTTGTGGTAAGTTTCAATCTAGGAAGTAGAAAGGTGGAGAATGTCTGTGGGTGAAAAATTGGAAAATCATTTTTCTTCAAACATTTTCTAGAATGATTAAGGGTTTGTTTTTTTCTTTTAATCTAATTGGAATAAGTTCTGATCTGATTTGATCTGAAAGTAGTTTTATTTAAGGATGTTTCTGATCTGATTCTAATAAGAAAAAGTAGTAAGTAATAAGAATAAGTTTCTAAGTAGATCTGATTCTATATGGTTGCCTCTTACAATCTTATTTTAATTGTCAGAAATCAAATTCTAACCAATCTTTTTTAACATCCTTCTCAAATATCAACATCATACCACTTCGCTATAACAAAACACCTTGTTGACAATTTATATTGGTTACCACAGAGGGCATATGGACAACCTGGTAATGGAAAGTAAAATTAAACTCTGAATTTAGAAATTATTCAGAGGATTACAAACGAATTAAAAAATAGGAAAAGCAAAGGCTTGTTGATCACAACAACGGAGTAGCTAGTGCATGTGACATAACTGTTGGTGACGAAAGGAGTAGCATAAGACGGAGACAAAATCTGAGGATTATCCTTTAGAGGATGCTCCACCACATTAGCTTTAGCAGCGTTCCCTTTCTTCTCATGATAGAAACCTTCTCATAGATATGAGGACAGAGAAGATATTGCTCAAGAATCATTTCTTTCCCATTGAGTTTGAGATAACTCTAGAACTCATCCCAAGATGACAGGATCCAAGCGCAATTCTTTATGACAAGATTGATATTTAGCACACATACAAACGGAGTATATGATATCCGGTCTACTCGCGTTAAGGTAAAGTAGAGAGCTGATCATACTTCGGTAGCGCTTGATGTCTACCTCTTTACCTTTATCATCCTTATCGAGATAGCAAGATGTGCTCATTGGTGTGTTAATGGATTTAGATTCGGTAACGTCGAATCTCTTTAACAATTCCCTACAATACTTCATTTGACACACGAATGTACCTTCTTTGTATTGTTTAATTTGCATCCCAAGGAAGAATTTTAATTCTCCCATCATCGACATCTCAAACTTGATTGGCATCATATCGGAAAATTCTTTGCATAAAACTTCATTTGTAGCACCGAATGTGACATCATCTACGTAAACTGATTTAAAAGGATGTCTTGGCCTGGTTATCATTTTTTAGAAAAAGAGTAGTATCGACTTGACCCTGTTTGAACTCATGGTCCAAAAGAAATTTTCTTAACCGTTCATACCAAGCACATGGTGCTTGTTTGAGACCGTAAAGCACCTTTTTGAGTTTGAAGACATGTTCGAGAAACTCATAGTCTTTGAAACCCGGGGGTTGTTTGACATATACTGTAACACCCCGACCCCCACCCTAGCCGTAATTGTCCGCTCATAGGATTGTAGATTGGCCCCACAAACCAACACAAGTCTTTTCCGCGCACTTTGTCCTCACTCGTGCGCGCCCAAGGAAACTTCCCAGGGGGTCACCCATCCTAGAATTGCTCCAAGTCAAACACGCTTAACTTTGGAGTTTTTAGGTGATGAGCTCTCGAAAAGAAGATGCACCTTGTTGGTATGAGTAGTACTATCAATCCATTTGAGCTCTTCTCATTCTCATCTTAACACAGGGTATTACATTCACCCCCACTTAGGAATGCAACGTCCTCGTTGCATCCTTTTTTTAAACCCCTAGATCTTCCCCGCTAGGTGAACCAAGCTCTTCTTGGCCCGTCACGGTCGCAGGGTTGCTCTGATACCATTTGTAACACCCAGGCCCCCACCCTAGCCGTAAGTGTCCGCTCATAGGATTGTAGACTGGCCCCACAAACCAACACAAGTCTTTTCCGCGCACTTTGTCCTCACTCGTGCGCGCCCAAAGAAACTTCTCAGGGGGTCACCCATCCTAGAATTGCTCCAGGTCAAGCACGCTTAACTTTGGAGTTTCTAGGTGATGAGCTCTCGAAAAGAAGATGCACCTTGTTGGTATGAGTAGTACCATCAATCCATTTAAGCTCTTCTCATTCTCATCTTAACACAGGGTATTACATATACTTTCTCTTGAATGATACCATTAAGGAAGGCACTTTTAACATCCATTTGATAAATTTTAAAATCCATCGTAGATGCAAATGCAAGCAATAAACGAATAACTTCTAAACGTGCAACTGGTGCATAAGTTTCCTCATAATGAATGCCTTCTTCTTGATTGTATCCTTTAGCTACGAGCCTAGCTTTATTTCTAGTGATTATTCCATTTTCGTTGAGTTTCTTACGAAACATCCATTTTGTGCCTATAATGGAATGATCATTAGGTCGAGGCACCAATTTCCAAACATCATTATGTTTGAATTGATTAAGCTCCTCTTGCATTGCTATAGACCAATGTTCATCATTAATGGCATCAAAAAGGTTGTTGGTTCAAATTGAGAAACAAAAGCCATGTGATTAATAGTGTCCCTAAGAGAATTGCGGGTAGAAACTCCCTGCGATATGTCACCAATGTCATTGTCGATAAGATGATTCTTCAACGTCCTCCATTCCTTAGGAAGCTCTGTTTGTTCTTGCGTTATCTCTTCTTCCGGTTCCTTTTCTTTGATGATCTCTTCTTCTTCGTCATAAGAACCTGCAACATTTTGAACAATACCTCTTTTCGCCAAGCAAGCATCAAATTCATTGAACACAACATTAATAGACTCTTCTACAATCTTAGTATACTTATTGAACACTCTATATGCTTTGCTACGCAATTAATAACCTAAGAAAATTCCTTCATCCGACTTAGTGACGCATTTTCCCAAGTTATCTTTACCATTGTTATGAATAAAAACTTTACATCTAAAGACATGAAAATAGGAAAGGTTAGGCTTTCTTCATTTGTAAAGTTCATAATGCGTTTTCTTGAGTATCGGTCTAATGTCAGCTTGGTTTAAAAATTGCACGCTGTACTAATGACATCCGCCCAAAAATATTTTAGAAGGTTTGCCTCATTGAGTATAGTCCTAGCCATCTCCTCAAGAGATCTATTTTTTCGTTCAACCACGTCATTTTGTTGTGGTGTACGGGGGGCTGAGAAATTATGCTCAATGCCTAATTCGTCACATAAGACATCAAAGCCATCTTGATCGAATTCTCCCCCATGATCACTTCTAATGGATGCAATGTGACAATCTTTTTCGTTTTGAACCAATTTAATGAATTTCTTAAAAACATTAAGTGCATCATACTTATGAGCATGAAAGTGTGTCAATGTATACTTCAAATAGTCATCAACGATAACAAAGTCAAAGTAATTGCCTCCAAAACTCATAGTTCTTGAAGGTTCAAAAAGGTCCAGGTGTAAAAGTTGTAATAACCTAGTCATAGAAACTATGTTCTTTAACTTAAACGAAGCCCTTACTTGCCTACCCTCTTGACATGTATCACAAATTAGATTCTTCTCAAACTTAAGTTTAGGAATACCAATTACTAAGTCCCTAGAAACCAACTTGATAAGATGGTCCATGTTAACGTGAGCTATCCGACGATGCCATATCCATGTTTCTTCCTCTTTAGTAATAAGGCACTTAGCTAAAGTAGATTGGGAATTTTCAAGATCAAACATATAAATATTATCTACCCTACTACCATAAAGAATAATATTATTGTCACACAAGCGTTCTAGAATGCATTTACTAAAATCAAAGATGACACAGTTGTTCTAGAGGCCCTCAATAAGAAAAATGTTTTCAATAGTCATAGCATTGTCCTTTCTAACGGCGCCACTTCCAACGATCCTTCCCTTGTTGTTGTCACCAAAAACAACATTGCCACCTTTGAAATAATTTATGTTTCTAAATTTGGATGCGTCTTTGGTCATGTGCTTGGAGCATCTGCTATCGAGATACCAAGAGGAACTCGAAGCCTTCAAGCACACCTACAAAAAGAGATCAAGGAGACGGTTTAGGCACCCACTTCTTGTTGGGTCCTTCTTGGTTAACATGTGTACAGTGTGTGTGCGTTTGTTGGAAATGCCTATGTTTGGTGAAACACACAGGTGCAATGTGACCTATTTTGTTACAATAATGGCAAACAACATTTGGATTATTCATCCTATAAGGTTGAGTGAAATGTGTTCCAGGTTTGCTAGGAGGTGCTCTTTTAAATTGATTATTAGTCCTAGCATTTTTATTTTCTCTAGCTTTAACGAATGTGATTTTTTTAGGTTGGTTCTTCTAATATCCTAGCCCTTCACCATTACTAGATTTTTGCCTAAGTATTTTATCTAAGGTGTTAGTGGCATTATCAAACTTTCCCAATGTTTTCTCTAAACTAGAAATCTTAGCTTTTAATGTAGTGCAATTAGTACATGTAGTAGAAAAGGAAGATGGTAATGCTTCTGGCCTTTTACCAAAAGAAATGATTTCTTGTTTAAGTTGGGCATTTATATTTTTGAGTTCTTTAACATCATTCTCAAAAATCAGGATTTTTTTTTTGTTTCACTTCATTAGTTTCTTTTGAGGCCTTTTTAAACATTCCTACTAGTTCTTCTACAATACTAACAACATCATTAAAGTTAATGAATCATTGGAGAAAGGTTTTTGATTACTTACCTCTTTTGATGATTCTTCTTCTTCAAGGGCCATGAGACATATGTTGGGCATTTCCTCCACGTCCGAGTCTTCACTCCCGGAGCCATCGTTCTCCCACGAGATATAGGCCCATTGCTTCTTCGGTGCCTTATTGTCCTTCTCGTTTTTGAGCTTAAGACACATTGGTTTTATTGGTTTTATGTGTCCTGTTTCACCACACCCATAGCATTTGAGTGGAGTGTTCTTCTTGGATCTCCTCTTCATAACCATCTTCTTGAATCTTCGGACGAAGAGCCCGAGGTCGGTGTCGTCGCTATCATCATCTTCGCCAACGTTGTTGTCGTTGTTTGACGTTGACGCAGCTAGAGCAATAGTTCTCTTGCTCTTCTCTTCAACCACTTTAAATAGTTGAGTGGTTTCATAGGTAATAAGGTTACCTCGAAGAGAGTCATAAGTAGCTGTTTGAAAGTCACGACCTTCTCCGATAGCGTCCACCTTTGAATGCCACTTCGGTGTCAAGCTCTGAAGCACCTTTCTCACTAGTTCCCAGTCGGTGTAGACTTTCCCGAGAAAATTTAAAGGATTGATGATGTTAGAGAATCTCTCAAACATATCCTCTTTCTTCTTATTTTTCTTCATTGAAAAAAATTCGTACTCGTGGGTGAGTTGGTCGATCTTTGCCTCTCTAATTTGATCGGTTCCTTCGTAGGTGATCTCCAACTTCTCCCACATTTGCTTTGCGGTCTCACGCCGCGACATCTTGCGGTAGTCATCCGCATTAACACCACAATAAATCATGCTTATTGCTTTAGCGTTGAGCTCCATCTTCTTGCAATCTTCGTCAGTGTATTCCTCTTCGATTTTAGGAAAGTCGACTTCTCCGACTTTCTTCATAGGAACGTTGCAGCCATTCTTCACAATCAACCACAACTTATAGTCATTGGATTGAATGAAGATCCTTATCCTTTCCTTCCAATACGAGTAGTTTTTTCTATCAAACAACGGTGGCCTCGTGGTGGATTGACCCTCGTTTACTCCTGCATTTAACATTCTAGAAGCCATTGATCTTTGAGATCGTGAAAAATAAGATGTGTTTCGAAGAATTTCCTTCTCCGATACCAATTGTTAGACAAAACGTGCAACTCTAGAGGGGGGAGAGTTATTTTTTAGAATGAGCGTTTTTCGCGTGTGTGATAAATGAAAGGAAAAATCGCAGGAAATATGTAAAGAGTAAAGGGAAAGAAGAACACCGTGATGTATACTGGTTCACCACCTTGTGGCTAGTCCAGTCCTCCGAGAGACTCTTTCAAAGGTCCTATTATACTTCAAGCTTCAACAGGTGCTTAAAAAATCGATCACAACTTTAGAACTTCAACCCACAAGCCTCAACTTCTTACAAACAAGACTTGGATTACACAAGTCTTAGAACTTACAAACTCAAAAAAATTGAGTTTAATAACACAAGAATGAAGGCTCACACAATTGAGCAAATAGTGTAACACCCTAATACGTCCAAGTCTGCAGCCCCTTCCGGACTAAAGTATAAACTTGGTAATCGTAAAATCTAAAACATTTCAAACATCTTTATTTATCATAAATAATATTCAATACATAATCGTTAAAATACAGAGTGTTTTAATTTAATAATGCGGAAGCAAAATTTAACCATGTCTCATAACAACACAATTATTTATTTTATCCATAAATCCACCACGACTGTCTCGTCCCATCCGCTGCCAGAAATATGCCATTCTTTCATTCTGCCTGCCTGCGTGTAGCAAATAAAACATATTACACGCTCAGCGGTGAAGTTGAGTAAGCATATCTAAAGCATCGAACATACATATAAATTGAATCTCAATTCATAATCAACCATTTAATATCATGATTCAAGCATTCATGATATTCTCGATATTTTATTCCAAGTCATTTCATGATATAGACAATATTCAATATCTGAAATGTACTCTTAAATTATTCTTAATCTAAGGCCAGATCATTTTATAAAAAGCTCTTAGCTATTCCTAGTTTAAGGTAATATTTCAAACCAGGCTCTTAAACTATAAATAGTTTAAGGCAGAACACAAGAACCGATACTCCACCCTATGAGTCATGTGGATTACGTACCAACTAAATAGTGAACTGACGGGCGGGTGATATCTGGTCTGGATCCCGTACGTACGTTTTAACCCCGAATTATAAACTGGTCAAAGAGGTATATCTTAGAGTTCTTCTAGATATCCTTAATAATCACCATCAATTTCTAAATGAGTATATCTTAGAGTTCTTCTAGATATCCTTAACATTACTCATCATTTTCATGATTATCAGTATATCCATTTTTAAATCATGATTTAATAATTCATAAACATTACTCAAATCTGAATAATCAAGCTCAATCATCATAATCATAAATCGATAATTTTTATCATGATCATCAATCAATAATAATAACAATTAGCAGCCTAGCATCGAGTGTTAACACCCTAGCTTACCGTTATGTATCACATAAGGTTTTATTTGTCAAAAAATCATTTTTATTGTGAAAAATCATATTTATATTGATCATAATTGATCGGTATCAAAAATAGGATTTTAAAGCTCAAAAACAACATTTTTAGATATATTTTTGGAGCAAACAGGTCGGGGGATCGATCCAGTACCTATGATCGATCCACCGTAGAGAAACTTCCCCAGGTGATAGATCCAAGAGTGTGGATCGATCCACCCTGTGGTTTTCCGATCACTGTCCATCTTCTTCTTCCTTTCGGCTCTAATTTTAAAAATATCATTTTTAGTCACCGAACTTCAATTAAACTACATAGAAATGTTCTCCAAGGTTCATGAATCATTTTGGTAACATTAGTTCGTAGTTTTAACAACAATTTCAAAGTTTATGATTCTTAGTTCTTTAAGTATGTCAAACACAAAACTCAACCAAACGACCGTTTATGAACGTAAAAATGACCTATATGAACATTCTAATCATTAGATATATCTACGGGCTTACCTTGAAGCTAAACGATGATTCCGGCGAAAGAACGACGAAACTTTTGGTGACAATAATTCTCAACTCCGGCGACCTCACAAAAAATTGACAGCACTAGTGTGTTCTTCTCACTCAGAGCAGCAGAATAGAAGGAAGTATTGTATAATTTGGTGAAGAAATGAGGAAGATGAGTTTCTCTTATATAATGGGAAGAGGGGGGAGGTAGACACCAGTAAATTTCCATGAATCCTTAGAATCGGCTAGTGCGCCGTTCGCACAGAAGCTGCCGTTTGTTGCGTAGTTCCCTGAGTGGAACAAATTTTTGATCCCAGTCGGGGTACACTTTTTTGTCCAACTTTCTCCGAATTAAAATACGATTAAACCGTTGCGGCCAGACAGTTAAACTCTACACAACGATATAATTTTCATTATTTGTTGACAAACTTTACAAATCACATATTTTTGGGTTCTTCTTAGTAATTAATTATCAATTAATTAATTCTAATATGCATATTTTTGGGGCGTTACAAGTAGTGTTTAAATTTAAAGTTCTAATGGATGACAATATCTTTGCACTCAATAAAAATATGTTTCTAGCTTTCAAAATAATATTTTGAAGATCAAGAATAGAGCAAGAATGAAAAGAATGAGAGGAATAGAATGGAGTGCTTAAATTGTGAGTGAAATGTAGGAGGAAGAGGGATTTTATAGAGTTAAGAAAAATAAATCCGTTGAGAAGTGTAAAGAAAAAGCTTTTGACAGATTTAACCTCTGGTGATCGATCCACGCCCTGTGATCGATCACCGGGACTTCAGATATTTTTGGAAAAATTTGAGCACAACTTCGGGTGATCGATCCACACCCCTGGATCGATCTCACGAAAAAAATGTTGGGTACATTGTGATCGATCTAAAGAGGTGGATCGATCCACTGAAGAATTGCTCTGCACACGTTGATCGATCCATAGAGGTGGATCGATCCTCTGAAGAATAATGTCCAAACATGAAAGACTTAAGACATGTGTGCGAGTTGAAGTGCATTTTTAGACTTATGAGTTTGTTTGAGACATTGAAATCAGGGGTAAGGCTCCCCATCTTCACAAGAATTATTCAAAATGAAGGAATAAATGAAGGAAAATTTTTGGTGTAGAAATGAGTTCCAAAGTATTTTGTGTGTCAAACAATGTACACGAAAAATATTTAAAAATATATTTTTCTTAAAAAAATTTGTATATCTTAAAAAGATATTTTAAGAAATTTTGACACACTTTTTATAACTGACCCAATAGAATATTTTTAGACAGAGAAAAGTTTATTTTTCAACTGACTCTAAAAATAATAGTTTAGTCCTCAGAAATTAATTTATTTTAGTGAAAAGTATTTGTCATTCTTACAAATGTTCCTACGACTCAATAAAAATAAAAAGTCTTCGAATCTTTACTTCACTTCATAAAATTCCGCGTAGGGATTGGAACGTCGAAAATAATCGTTGTAAAAATTCTTGATACGCCTCTTTGCTTTCTCGAATTGAAAATAAAATTTTTATTCGTCATTGTATTTGTCATTTATCAAAACTTGAAAAAATTTAAGAATATTTAAAAGAGATTTGAACTCATGTCCAACACTTTTTTCCCTCTTCCTCAAGGCATACCTGGAATGCTCTTGGCTTTCACCTTCTTGTTGAAATAGGATTTAACTTGTCTCTTATAGTTCTCCGCCCGGATCCGGGCTTTCTCCCTCCTTTCTTCCAAGATGTCCAGTTCTATTACTTGGTTCTCCTCGTTTCCTTGTGGATCACACCGTTATTCTAATTGAGTTCTCTTTTTTAGCTATAAACTAATTGAGTTCCTTGAGTTCTCTTTTTTAGCTATAAACCAATTGAGTTCTCTTTGTTAAAAAAATGCTAAAAAATTCCTACACATATTGAAAAAGTTTATTGCGCTTGGTGTACTCAAGGTGTATACCAATATTACACCTTACACCCAACATTTTTTTAATATTCAAATAATTTCTTTTATGAAGTGAAAAAAATGAAGTTGATGTAAAATATGGCTAATGTCATAATCATTTTGTCCAAAAAAATTAGAAAAAATGCTAGGGGTACACCAGGTACACCAATGGTGTACCCCAAGTGTACCCCAAACATTCTATACCACATAATTTGTAGTGTAAGAAAAAAAATAGAGTAAATTCCGTAAAAATTCTCCAGTTATAGGTTATTTTACATATTTAGTCCCTACATATCAAATATTACTGATTTAGTCCCCAATTATTATATCATTTTTCACGAATGGTCCTTTGTTAACGTTTTTGATAAGAACATAGATAAAATTGTATATTCATACTTCTCTCTCTCCTCAATCAAACTTTCTCCCTCTTCTCGTACTCGTTCCCAAACTCATCGCTGAGTTTGAAGCTCTAAACCCAAAACTGAAATTATCATTCCTCTCTCAATTATTAGTCTTGGTGGAACCTAAAATCAAAATCAATAAGCTTTATGGATGAGTTTTATTGATTAGTCTCAAGAAATTGTATAGAAAATAAATATTAAAACTCATCAATGAATGTTATTCGTTTCAAATTTGGGTTTCACCAGTTAGACAACAATTGAGAGAAGAGTGATGATTTCGATTTTGGGTTCAAAGCTTTCAAACTAAGGGACGAGTTTGGGAAAGGAGTGCGAGGGGAGGGAGGAAGCTTAATTGAAGAAAGAAAGGAGTGAATTTACAATTTTATCCACGTTCTTAATGGAATTGGTAATAAAGGACCATTCGTGGAAATGAATATAATAATTGAGGCCTAAATTAGTAATGTTTGATATGTAGGAACTAAATATGTAAAACGGCCTATAACTAGAGACCTTTTTTTGGAATTTACTCAAAAAAGATATAATAAATATTTGTGGTTCAAAATGTTTGGGGTACATTATTTGAGGTGTACCAATGCCATGTTCTCTCTAATTTATTTTTTTATTTATTCTTATTAAACTCAGATCAAATCAAAAAAACACCTTTAAATGTAACTACATTTAGATCAAATACTATCACAATAGATCAAATAAGAATTTATTTCAATTAGATCATAAACAATTAGAAAACAACATGACCCAAATGGTGTGCCTTTGCATTTGTTTCTCAAAAAATTATCCTAAAAAAAGCTATTGGGCCGACTAGTGTATAGGACCACAATCGCCGGCTGCCTTGAGGCGACAGAATATTCACTTCATCAAATCGGAGCGTCAACCCAGCAAGCGGTGGCTGACAGTAGTCTGAATCGTCCAAGGTTCCAACCTCAAGGTTTGATTTGCCCAATTTGTGCACTGAAATTATATGTTTGATTTGCTCAATCGTCCAATTTTTAAACCTTATTTTTGATTTGTTCTTTTCTGTATTGAAATCATATGTTTAGTTTCTTAGAATGAAATCATAAGTTTGATTTGTTCTTTTTTTTCCCGTATAAACTTCAATCTCCCTTGACAATTTCACCACTAGAAAGCTAACATGGTTTTCCTGAAAATGCTGTCAATTTCGTAAGGTGTTAAGGACTTCAGGTGTTTATAAGATGTATAGCTGCTCGCTTCTGTTAAGTAAAAAGAAATCAAAGTCAGATGAGAGTGACTCAAGTGATGAAAATTTGAGAAAGAAATTTGTGGCTCTTAAAGCAGTTCTGGATCACATCACAAAATAATTTGGCAAGGGATTCATCATTGGATGGGTCGGTCTGAATCCATGTTGTGTATCCATTAGGCAGTTTTGCATTTTTTAATGCCTAGAACATTTGTTCTTTATATTTGTGGTTTGGCTAATAGCATCCTTTGTGTTGTATCTGAGGTTGTGTGTATATCATTATATCATATGTTAGTGTATTACACAGTTAACACTACATCCTCTTAGAGTCTTAGTTTTGTGCATGGTGATGTGATATGTGTGTGTGTGTGTGTGTGTATGGTTTAGAGCCTTTAGAGTAAACTACACTTCCTATACATATACATGTCGAGACACAAAAACTAGGAGGTTATAATCTTACACACAATTTATTTGCTGCCATTTCTTCCCTTTTTCATTTGACGAAAGAAAAGTACTTGGCAAGTGGCAACAAATATTTTTCAAACCGAACAAAAAAACCGATGTTTGAACCACAAAAAAACAAACCGAATAACCAATGAGATACTCTTTTTTATGCAAAACTTAACCGAATCGCCAATTTACCTTCTGTTATGTCTTTGGTTTTAGGAAAATCCAAACCGAAATTTTGTGAAAACAACATAGGACTAAAAGTTAAAACAAATTAAAAAATGATTGTTACACACTAAGAATGTCAACGCAATGGCCCCACATGCCCTTGTTTTTGTGCAAATGTGCTTTGTCTTCTGTTAGTTGTGGAGGTGAAAATTGGCAATCAAAATTCACTATTATAAATAAGATTGGTTTTTGAGAATTGTGTTATACTGAAATGACCTAAACCAGATAACGGGCTGCTTTCTGCATTGGCATCCGGCTTTGATTTGTTAATTTAGCAATTTGATATGTTATGAAACTTATCTATAGATTTTTTTACTATTTTTTTTTAATTTTGCTCCACAATCATTAGCTATGTTATGTTGGGAAATTGGTTTGTTGCGAGCTCCATAATCGTAAATGATGTTAGTGTAGGTGTGTAGCATATTTATTTAGCAAGATTAGGAGTTAGGATTATCTTAATATTGGTGTTATAATGAGATTAAATTGAACTAACATTAATTCAATAAAGCAATCTAACTATTTAAAATGGTTTTAAAACATTATGATTGTTTTTTTTTTGGGTAACAGACATTATGATCTCATTGTTTTCATTCTTTGCTGCCCCTTTTGCAGTTGACTTCTCAAGCTTTTACAAAATCTTTAAATATCTTAATTTGTTAAGCATAGCTCATTCAACATATGTTTATGGATAGTAGAAATTACACATTTACATACATCCTTTCTTCCTTTTAAAAAATTAACTTCTAGATTGAATGAAGAAAATCTTTCTCAAAGGAACATGGTGGGGCCATGAAACATCAACTAGAATTGAAGATTCTCTAAATATCATAGCAGAATGAAGTATTTATGAATAGATAGTGAATTCTTGCTGTGAAAAAGGACACTTTAAGTTCAACTTATAGAGTGAGTCCAGGAGCTGATTTTACCCTTCTATTCCTTTGGATGGGATAGAATTCTAAAAAGTTGGGGTTTTGTTGCTGGGAACCTCAAAACAGCTATCATTATGTTATTGCTTTTCAGGACTCCCGTGTTACTTTTAGAGAAACAAAAATGAGTCAAAATGGAAGCAAGTTATGAACATTTGAGTGATATTTCAGGAATCTGCATGGGTGCTTCTTTACCACACAGCATATACATATTTTTGTTACCTTTTGTTTTGGCTGGAAATTTGGCAAACAAAACAGCATTGTCATGTATAGATAGATTTGTCTGAAGAGGTTGATTCTATTGGGTTTTCGTGGCAAAGGATCATATGGCTTGGTGATATTTATCTTCAGAATTATCTCTTCATTAGTTCAAGTTGTTAGTGACCTTCCTCAAAAAATCGAAAATGACAAACTCTCTTGTTCTTCAGTTGTCTTAGGTCACTCTGAATTTTCTTTTGGGAAAAGAATTTGCAAGGGGGGTAAATTTCAGAGGGGATTATGCAAGAATGATGTCAAAGTTAGCTTTAGAATCACCTTTGAGAAATTTGATTGCCATTATAAGTAAATTACATTCATCTTCACCAAGCCCGGAAGCCCCCTGTGAAGGTTTTTAAAACACAACTCTGCTTGGCTTAAAATCTTTCAAATCTATGGTTTCTTGCTATAATGTTATCACTTACTCTGTATTATTAAGGTGATAGGATCTCATTGTGTTTTTTGAAGATTTCACAAGGAGTGGTTTCCCCCCTTCTGCGACACACTTGTCCTTTTCCGCATATAAATTTGTACATATGCATATGGCTTCACATGTAGCATCATTTTTAACACCTCAAATACATTGCTTTTCAAGTTCACTGCTAAGCTTTGGTAAACATGTTTCTCCCTACCAGTTGTACTCCAGGGAGGATTTAAGCAGTAAAGGAAGGGATGAGTGCTTACAATGCTTTTAAAGCTTGTGCCCCGGTTGCGTGGAGCTCGAATTTGTACATAACCCTTGTAAGAGGTATCCCAGGTACTAGGAGGCTCCATAGGCGTACCTTAGAAGCATTGCGCCTTCGGAAATGCAACCGTACTGTGATGCGGTGGAACACCCCTACAGTCCGAGGAATGGTTCAGCAGGTTGTGTGGTCCCCATTCTTATTATCACTGTTCTATATTTTCTTTTGTGTGATATTTTTATCATATCACATCTCTACAAAATTAATGGGCCGTTTCTTTTTAACATTAATTAACACCAAATTAAATGGTTGTTCATTTACATTTAGGTGAAAAGGTTGGTGGTTGTTGAGACAGAAGAGATGTACAAGGCACGAAAGGAGAAAGAAGCCAACCACCGAGCCTTGCGTCCCCCATTGGTTGTAAATCATCACTCTGCTTCTTCAACAACTTAGTTTCTGCAATTTGTCATCGCTGCTCTTTCAGGTTCTTTGCTCCTTACAAATCCATTGATATCATCTAGTGCTTAACAAGAGACCAAAACAAATAGTCTTTCACCTGCTCCCTAATTTCCTACTACCTATGTCCTTGAGTATATTTCCAATTTTGACTTTTTCACTCAAAATTGACAAACTTTGACCAGTAATTAAATAAAATTGGTATTAGATATTGATACGAAAAAGAATTTTATCAGATTAATTTTATACAATATTTTCAATATATTATTTTATGTAACTAATATACCAATTACCACACCATTTCTATTTAATTCAAAGTCAAAGGTCAAAAATGGTTGACTGCAAAAAGTCAAAACTGGGCAAATGCTCCGGAACAAAGGTAGTATATATCACTATCACTGGCTAAATGGTTGATTCTGTTTTGTCTGAAACGTTTTTGTTATAGGCGCAGAGAAGTGAGATGATGATACTGTTGCAATAAAGACATTGAAGTTTTTAAAGGTTTTTGAAGGGTGTATTGTTTCTAGCTGAACACTTGTTGTGCCATCCTCTAGTTTTCTTTTCAATGGTGACTTTCACAGATTTCCTATGTTGATTGGCGTTGTAGCTTAAAACAAGTGTTTAGCCTATGCTATCATTTTTTTGTTAAGATAGAAATACATTATATTAAGGACACATTGCTTTGAAACTTCTATTGATGTTTTAGTCATACCATGAAGGCATTTAAGTAGAATATATTTTTCTTTCCCAGAAAAATGTATGGTGTTTTGAGTTTTGACTTTAGACTCCAATGCAATATTATAGCATTGGCTATTCTAGGGTTATATGGTGTTTAAATTTGTTGAGATTGTGTATGGTTTTATTGCTTGATCTCACACCTCAGCCAATATTGATGAAATGTGGAGGGGGGCACATGGAAAAGTACGGAACAATTTTGGTTTTGGGGCAGAGCTTCAATGTCATAATATAATAAGATAATATAGTCATGTTATCACTAGTTTTGAAGTTTAAATGTCGTTTTTAAATATATACTCATAATTTTTAGTTTTAAATTTTACATCCTTTTTCATAAAAAAATGATTTGAAAATAATTTCAATCAATCATCGCGAAACAGGCAATTCAAGTTGGGACGTAGAGAGTAGTAGATTTGTAAGATACATAGGGTAAATTAAAAAATAAAAATTAAATATTATTAAATTACATCACAAGATTGTCCAAACAAGTGGTTACATGACTATATTTTTTTATTAAATGAAAAATGAAAATAGGTAAAAAAATGTAAATAAGGTTTGACGTTCTGAAGAGGGTATAAGTTACTCTCTCCGTTCCAAATTATAATGCATATTCACTATTCACAGGGTTAAACTTCATTCACTTTCTTTTTCTATTTTCGTTAGCAATTTGATAAAATAAAATACTATTGTCACTACTAGTTTTGTAGATCTTTTGATATAGTATTTTTATATGTAATTTTTATTTTTTAACTTTATATCATTTGTCATATAAAATGATTTGAAAATAATTTCAGTCAAACATCGTAAACCGAAACAAGCACTATAAATTGGGACGAAGGGAGTATTTAATTTAGAACAAATGAAGTACATTAGTATTAAAATCATGTACTATTATATACTCCGTATTTCGTATCAACATTATATTACAAAATACTCCCTTCATTCACAAATAAACTTTACGTTCACTATTTACAGGGTCAAACTTTATTTACTTTGTTAGCCTATTTTCGTCACCCATTTGATAAAATAATATAGTCATGTCACCTCTTGTTTTGTAGATCTTTTGATATATTTTTTAATATGTAATTTTTATTTTTCAATTCTACACCATTTTTGATATAAAATGATTTGAAAATAACTTTAGTCAAACATCGTAACGCGTAATGTAAAGTTTATTTGTGGACGGAGGGAGTAGTTGATTAAACCTCTTGAATTGTTCGAACCTGTATCAACTCATAATCAATATTCAACACTTCAACAATGTCAATGAAGTCTAATACTTCTCTCGTCTCCATAGATCTTTCCATTATGAGTTATAAAGCTTTATCAACTTTATTTTAAATCTAATTTATTTGATTATAGATGTAAAATTTAAAAATTAAATTTATATATTACGAGTAAAACTACATTAAAAATCATGTGAAATAAAATGTGACAAAACTATTTTATTTTATGAAATAATTAGTAAAACTAAACAAATAAAGTAAATGAACTTTGACTATGTGCGCCCTTGCATTGACCCGTTGAAAACTAGAAAAACCGGCAAACCGGCTGACCCGGGTCAGCCCATCCGGTTCCCGGTTTCCAATCAAAATGCTTTAAATTTGATTAAAAATTTCCATGGCAGGGTTCGAACCTGCCACCAAGGCTGGGGAAATGAGCTCCTAACCAAATGAGCTGCTACAGCTTTTGTTCACCATGCCATGCATTGTGGTATATATTACCTTCTTAAACTATTTAGAGAGTATTTTTAAAAAAACTTCAAATTACTTAAAAAAGAACTATGTTTATATAATATAGTTATATTGTTGATTTTTAAAGTAGTTCAAACTTAAATATAATTAGTATAAATTATTTTTTATCTTAAGAAAACTATAAATAATCTATACTTAATGTATTATCTTTTATCTTTAAATTATTAATTATAATTTAATATATTGCTTTTTTATATTTTCAATCATTTTAATCAACTAAAATATAAATTTTTCAATCTTTAAATTATTAATTAAAATCATTTTAATCAACTAAAATAAGAATTTATTATCTTTTTTTTATTTTTAAAAAATATAAGTATTACCTTATAATTTAAGTGTGTGTTAGACATTCAAAATTAATTTTTAATAATAATAAAAGTAATAGAAAAAAATAGAAATTGTAAACTAAAATATATACAATGATATTAAAACTAGATGGAGAAGTAAAAACACAAGCTAAATACTTTTTGAACTAAAAATATCTAATGGTATAATATAAAATATTAATATTTTAATTATAGTTTGACCGAGTCGTTGACCCGAGTTAACCCCGGTTCAACCGGTTAACCCTTGACCCAGTGCTTTGTCCGAGTCGACGTCCGGTCCGGTTTTCAGAACATTGGCACTTGGAGTATTAGAAGTAGAAAAGCAATTAAAATTCCTTAAATTCTTATTGTGATTAGTTATTGGAAAGATATTGTATGATTGAGTAGTTATTGAGCTTACAAGTATTGGAGACATACCTTGAATCAAGGAGATGAAATCTTACATATTCCGTATAAAATACTCTGTCCAATTTTAATCTCTTCTTTTTTTTCGTTTAAATTTTTCTGAATACTATAGATTATATTAAAATGTAATACATGTTTCTACATTTCTCAATCTAATGACACACAAAGAGTCAACATCTCCATCTTCACTGAGATACAAACCTAAATGAACTTCCTCATGAATCTTAGGGAGTGAGCTTCCTGATATTCTTTCTGTTTGAATTTAATTTTTTCATTTCTCATATAAATGTAAATTTGAACAAAAATAGACCGGAAGATATTTTTTCCCTCTATTCTGAGAAATCAACTATCGGGTAACTCACATTTTAAAAATGTACTTCGGGGTACCTCCAAATGTATATTAACTTACCCGTGAGGGACATTCCGTTTCATTCGAAAGCTTCAATTAAACTAGATATATCGTATCCTTAAACTATAAGAACCAATGTTATTTTTGAAATTTCGAACTCCTAATTCTTAACTGGCTTTGACGCAGAGTGAGACGAAATGTCACTCACGGGTAAGTTAGTGTGTATTTGGGGGTACCTCAGGGTATATTTTAAAAATGTGAGGTATCCGGTAGTTAGTTTCTCAAAATAGAGGGTACCTCGGAGTATCTTTTAAAAATGTGAGGTATTCGGCACTTAGTTTTTCAAAGTATGGGTACCCAAGAGCAGATTTCTGCTATTAACTAAAAGTAAGTTACGTAGAAAAAAATGAGTAAATTTCAAAAATGATCCTTTTTAATAAGATATTTTCACAATTCAATCTTCAATAAGAAATAATTAGATACCTACTCCTTTGTAATTTAGTATGTTCCCAAGATAATATGTGGTGGGTACATTCAATTTGAATTTTAAAGATTTTGACTAATTCGTAGCAATCTACTCCCTCCGTCCCTTAGTTTTTGTCCACTTTCATTTTTGCACACCATCCAATGCATTTCTTTAATCCATTTTATCTTGTAATTTGTATATTAAAAAATTATAGAAATTATATATTAATAATATATATGTTAAGACAAATCAAACAAGATCAGACATGACTATATTTAGGCTTACACATTGAGAGAATTTGATGAGTCAAAGTGCTTAAATGAACAGTTCCAAAAGTCAAAACTGAACAAAAACTAGGGGACGGAGGGAGTATAAATTATGTACAGTTAATGGATTATTTAATTCTAAATGAAGTTTTGTTGGTTTGGACATAGTTTATTACTGTCTTTGAAAATTCGCTTTTATTCTTAAGATTTGCTCATGTTGTTTTCAACCTAATGACATACAAAGAGTCGATACCTTTGCCTACACTAGGAACTTTCTAATAAATCTTGGGAAGTAGACTTAGGGGGGTGTATTCAATCTAGATTCTGTAGTATTTTTTTTATTTTAAAAATCTATGGGTATTCAATCTAGATTTAAAAAAGTCATTTAAAATCTAGAAGTATTCAATTCAGATTTTAATATATCCTAATAAATATAATGGTATTCAAAAATCAATGAATTTTAAAAGAATTCTATAATATATGGATTTTGGACTTTGGGTATAAATTAAAATCTAACTCAAAAATCTCACGAAAAATACAAAGATTTTGCAACTCAACGGAGGATTGTCTTCTTCATATTGGCTAGGGTTTTGGTCGGGTAGATAGATGGTTTTGACTGAAGGTGCTTGATTAGTGCTCCAGATGGTTTTGCACTCCAGGCGCCGGTGATAAGTGCGCCGGTGATTAGTGCTCCAGATGGTTTTGCACTCCAGGTGCTTGATTAGTGCGCCGGTGTTCCCGGTGATGCCGCCGGCAGTATCGACTTGGCAGAGCAAACGGAAGTTCATCTGCGGCGAATGCGATTGCGCCTCCACCTGCCGATGCTCTCCCCGACGACGACGCATCCTTCCGTGGCGGCTTCTTCGGATTCTCGCTTTGAATTGGAACTGAGACGGAAGGAAGACAAGCGGCTAGGGTTGTTGGGGACTTGGGGAAGGAGGAAAAAAAAAAGAAAAGAAAAAGAAAAAAGAAAAGAAAAAAAAGAAAAAAAATGAAAAAAAGAAAAACATAATCCTTTAAAATCCTATGATGGAATACATTAGAATCTAGCTAACTCTATGTAAATTTAAAAAAATCCAATGAATTTACACAATCAATGAATTCTAAAGAATCTATCAAAATCTTTTAAAATCCAAATTATTTACACCCCCCTTAATACCACTTAAACCAGGGTTTTAAAAAACAAAAAGAGAATAAAATATATGCCAACTATTTTTGTGAATTTCCCATGAAGAAAATAATAAAAATAGGATTAAAATATTGTCTTTATTACCATAATGAGAGTGATATATTTTTATTCCCAAAATAATATTGTTGCATTATGACAATATGACATTGTATATAGAAATTTCATTGTAATATTTGGTATTATATATTTACTTTATTGACATTTTTATTTGAAATATTTGCACTAAATAGCCTAAAACTTAAGACATTTTTCTAAATAGCACTTAAATTTTTTTATTCTTTAAATAGCACTTCATAATGTCCATAATGTCTAGTGATATCCAATATTTAATTGAATAATGACTGAAACTGCTAGATTGGGAAAAAGAACACATGTGATGTTATTTAGGAAAAGTCATTATGTTTTAGTGCTATTTACGTAAATTCTCCTTTTTATTTTGGAGATAAAAATATGAAGTTTTTTTGGTTATTTTCCTATATTTTACTCATATAAAAATCTTTCCCTATTTCCCTTCAGAATCATTGAAGTCCTAATATTTTTTATTAATTTTGTTTTTGAAAAATTAATGCAGGGAAAAATCATTGAATTTTTTTAAATAATAGGTTTAATCATAGAGTCATTTTAATCCAATAGTTTACAACTAATCAACTGGCGAGGGGGTTCAACTAATCATAATTATTATGGGGGCCGTGAAAACTATCATGGTTTTTTAATCTTAAAATTATAAGATTAATAATTCAAGCTTTTTAAAATTAATGTTGGCAGAAAAATCATATGATTACTAATATTTTTTTGTATTAATATTTTTTAAATTTATACGGATAGAAAAATTATAAATTTTTAGAGATGTAGTAAAACTAGATCATTTATATTTGATATTTAAATGAAACACTACATCAAAAAATCAAATGATTTAAATAATCCATATTGTAAAATCTTCTACTCGGTGCTACAAAGGTTTTTTGTAGTGTGTTGTGTTTGATTGGAATCTTCTATTAATTCTTGTAGAACTTCTTTTCATTGTACTTGATGTTTTATCTATGCTATACTGTGTACCTTATCATATTTTTTGTGCAGGTTGAGCCGGGGGTCTCTTGGAAACAACCTCCCTGCTTCCGAGTAGGGGCAATGTATGCGTACACACACCCTCCCCAGACCCTACTGTAGTGGAATCCAACTGGGTTGTTGTTGTTTGTAGAATCGCAGACAATTTCGTTCCACCCATGCATAGCACGGGTTAACATACTAGTCTTCCAGAAAATTGACATATCACTGAATGGGCTAGTCTAATTGTTTGGTCTTATTTCCATAAGAAAAATTCCGGAATAGGCCCAAACAAGGTTGAAGTTGCTTTGGGCCGAACCAGAATCAGATCAAAGCACCTAGTTCCAGCGCTTATATAACTGATGCCTCGATCAATCCACGCGCCGTCGATCGTCCTCAAACCCTAGCATCTCCGAAGCGCCTTCTACGTAGCATCAATTTTCAAGCAAGCAAAATGGTAGGGTTCGTATCAATCCGCGTTTCATTGTCATATGGATTCCATTTTTAATTTCTCTGTTTCTTCATTTGCAGACTTTCAAGCGTAGGAACGGAGGCCGCAATAAGCACGGCCGCGGCCATGTCAAGTTCGTTCGTTGCTCCAACTGTGGAAAGTGCTGTCCTAAGGTCTTAACCTTGTAGATTTTATCCAATCGTTAACCGCGAGCTAAATTTATTGTCACCATTGTTTGTTTGTTTGTTAATCTGTTTGTGCATAACTTATTGAATGTACTAATCTGGTTTCCTTCCTGCAATGTTCTTGTGGTGATTTTGTTCTGAGTTTAGTATGTGCTTTGATTCTTCCAAAGGTGAAAATTTTTCTGGTTTCGTTTGGAGTTTGTGTATTATGGTTTAATTAAAATTTCTGACTAGTAAAAGCCTTAATTTTATAGATCATATTGATTTGAGTCTAGATGCAGGTGTTTCTTAGCTCTCAATCATGGATCCCATGTATATGTTTAATCATTTATTCTTCTCAAGCTGTAAAAGTAACCTAAATTTTCTGTTTTGAATGTAATTGTTGAAGTGTTATTGCCTATTGGACCAGAATAGCAACTGAATCAAGTTTCATTGATTTCTTGGTCAATTTACATGATATAATGTTGGTGCTTGTTTCAGATTATTTGTGTACAAGTGGAATGCATCTTGCTGTGGTTTAAGTATAATACAACAACCTTTAGTCTTGATGATTTACTTTGGCTATAACCCTCAGGACAAAGCCATCAAGAGATTCCTTGTTAGAAACATTGTGGAGCAAGCTGCGGTCAGGGATGTCCAGGAAGCTTGTGCTTATGAAGGTATGTTTATGAACAGGAACTCTACTTGGTATTCTGGGTATGGGCAAACTTTCTAATTCCTGAAGTAACAAAGGTTTATATATTTTTGCAGCGTACACTCTTCCCAAGCTCTATTTGAAGGTGCAGTATTGTGTTTCTTGTGCAATTCACTCCAAGGTTGTCAGGGTCCGCTCACGTGTTGATAGAAGGAAGCGTGACCCTCCAGTGCGTAACCTTAACAGACGCCCAATGGTACCTTCCCAATTATCTAAGCTTTACTCTATTCTATTTTAATTGATCAAAACATTGTAATTGATTGCGTATGTTTCATTCATCCATCACCATTTGCTCTCCCATTTATGTTTTAATGAACTTTACTGTCATATCACTCATATGCATTCTTTTCCACCAGTCTGACTGACAGTTTAGTGCCATTTGTATCTTGACATGTAAATAACCTGCTTGCATTTTAAGTTTTTTTTTCCAAATTTGTTAACTTTTTTTAGTCACATGCCACACATGGTAAGTTCACCCTCTGGACGAAATGACTGCGTAGTAGCTGTTTCACAAAGTCTTGATATTTTCCATTGTTCATGCATTCTATCTCCTCTAATACTGGACAATAAATTCGTCTTAATTCTTGTTGGTGATAATCGATCTCACTCAATCTGTGCTATGTGACAGACCCTACAGCATGATTTTTGAGTAATTTTTCATCTCTATCTATCAATGTAAACCTAACAATTTTTGAATAATAATACTCTAATCCCATGTCATTTTGCCACTCTCTCTTTCTGTTCTTTTTTCTCTTCCTTTTATAGGTATTCTGAATCAATATTCCCACATTGCATTAAAAAAATACTCCCTCCGTCCCTGAGTGTTTGTCCACTTTCATTTTTGCACGTTATCCAATGCACTTCTTTAATCCATTTTATCTTGTAATTTGTATATTAAAAAATTATAAAAATTATATATTAATAATCTATATGTTAAGACGAATCAAACAAGATCACACATGACTATTTTTAGGCTTACACATTGAGAGAATTTGATAAGTCAAAGTGCTTAGATGAACAGTTCCAAAAGTCAAAAGTGGACAAACACTCAGGGACGGACCAAGTAATTGTCTGGTTGACACCATTATCTTGTCTTCTTCATAAACTACATGCGCACAAGTTGCCCCACTATAAACTGTGCAAGGAAAGAAGAAAATTGAATAAGGATGAAGGGAGTAAGTTTTAAATGGATTTCTGTAAGGAGCAGAATGCAAGTATTCCATTGACATGCTATGCCTGGCCCTCTAAGTGTGATAAATGCTTTTTTATCAACTTTGTGAAGTCTAGAGAAATTGAATACTAGGAAAAATATAAAAAATCAAGGTATTTAGTTTACCATAATTGACATAATTTTGGTGCAGTTGAACAAGAAATTTGACAAGGGGGATATTTGCGCCTCACTTATTCCTTTGACATTTATAGTTGGGCATTGAATAAACTCTAGAGCTAAAAGCATATGTTGCAAAGTCCCTAGGTGCCAAAACTTATGTTGCACATATTGGCTATGTTTGAAACTAAGGACACAGTATTTGGGGAAAGTACCAAATTTGTGAAGTATCTATATCAAGTGGAATGTCATTGAAGTATCACTCATCAGCAATTTCTTCAGATTGTCTCTTAACATATCACTTTACTGTTGATTAAGAAACTATATACATGTCACTTGCCAGAAACTACAAATACCACATCTCTCTTAACCAGCAGGAGAAATCTTCCATTTCTGTAGTGTAAATAGTTTCAGAATTGCACTCTTTGTATATTGGTCTTTTCTTGTTAGATGGTCTCATTAAAAAGACTATTTGCTGTAGTTATCTGATGCTCATGCACTCAATGTGTTTTAGGACAAGGACAATGCTGCTAAGCCCGGTCTTGGAGCACCACGTGTTCCTGGAGCACCTCCGACTGCTGTTCGTAGCTAAGCCTGGTGGATGTTTTTTTGGTTCTCCCATTATATCTTTACTTTTGAAAATGTGTTTTTGACGACCGCTCTTTGTTTTACTTGAACATTTATGATATTACCGAGTATGGCTTTGATTGGTGTTTCCGATAGACCGATTGTTGTGATTTTATTATTTAGATGCATTTCCAACTAAATATAATATCAAGCTTGATATTACTTGGGGGGTTATTCACGTTTGGGACTTGAACTTTTAGCTATTTATCACTTTGGTACTTGAATTTCATTTTCATACTATTCTTTCAATCTTTCAGTTTAATCTTTCATTTCTTTTTCTTCTTCTTACCCCACCCACCCACCCACCTATTCTTCCTTCACCCATCCTTTATACTTCATGTGCTCTCCCCATTTTGGTCGTGCTGCGCTTCGTCTTCAATTTATATTAATGCGAAACTATTTTCTGTTGAACTTCTTCCCGATGAAGCTTGATTGGTTGGAGTTTGATAGTGTGAGATTTGTAAGGAAAATGCTAGGGGCACACAAAAACAAAATAAAATGAATGGTAAAGAGGGGGTGATGTACATTTGGGGTATCCATGGCATATCCCTTCGTGAAATGATGTAGGAGCTTAATCCCGAAGTAGAAGCTGTGTTTCTTCCCAGTTTTGCTCTGAACGAAACAAATTTTACACGGGCTGGTAGCTGGATTGGTTGTGTATATGTTGGGCTTGGGCTCTGACCTAAACATGATCTTCTATTTTCAAACTTGAACTTTGTCTTTGACTTTTTGCTATATTTTTCCGTAATAAGTACTTTTGTTTTAGAGTATTTGTCCAGTAGGAGTTTTTCTAGTCAAATTTTACAAATTTTAATCATTAATTACTCTTAATTTGTATTAAATATTACTAGAATGAAATAAATTTTTAGAAGTTCTAAACGAGTTAAATATATTAAAATCATTTTTATACTAGTATAGTTTTTATTTAATTAAAACTCTAAATTTATTTGGTTTGACTTAAAAAAGTCAAATTGAACGAATACTTTTGGACGGAGGAATATGTTGTGAAAACAAAATAAAATGAAAGATTAAAAAATTACTTCTCTTATCTCATACAATATTTTAACTTTCTCATCGTACATGTTCTATAAAACATTTTAATTTGTCAAAAAAAAAAAAAAATAAATTAAACTATCCCTATTAAACCCTCCTACCGTTTCCTCGCCCACCCATCCGTTGCCTCTCATCCTTTATGACCATCTCTCTGTGACATGTAACCCTACCCCTTCCATTCTCTGCCTCCCTCTTCTTCTTCTTCCTTCATCGCACATATTTTCTCCGCTTTTTGTCTCTCTGTAAATGGGACCTTTAGATCCATCGATGCCCACCTTCCAATAACCTACGGATAGTGACGAGGAAAGGTCTAATTTATTTGCCTGTTTCGTGATTTTTTGATGTCGCAAACTGATGATGCAATCTCCTTTTACATTCATCCGGATGCGTGTTCTGTTCTCTAATGCCTCCTATTTATATGTCGGAGGCTTACATTATGTGATATCAGTGGCGGCTGATCAAAGAATTCGGGTAGATGGAGCATAATTGGTCGAGGTCCTTGCCTTTGGATTTTTAAATAGACAATATGGATTAACAAAGATAATAATTAATTCTATTTTAAATATTTATTGAATGTAAAATATTGTTTAATACTCCATATGTAAAATAAAATCTTATTATAAAAAAAATATTTAATACTACCTCCGTCCCAGAGTATTTGTCCACTTTCATTTTTACACACCATCCAATACACTTCTTTAATCCATTTTATCTTGTAATTTGTATATTGAAAAATTATAGAAATTATTTATTAATAATCTATATGTTAAGACAAATCAAACAAGATCACACATGACTATATTTAGGCTTACACATTGAGAGAATTTGATGAGTCAAAGTGCTTAGATGAACCGTTCCAAAAGTCAAAAGTGGACGAATATAGCGGGACGGAGGGAGTAAAATACACTTCAATAAAATTAAACAAAAAACTAAAAACTAACTTAATTACATAAGATTCTATTAATCTTGTTGGGAGTACATAATTTTAGATGGGGTTATCCCAATTTAGATGGGGTATGCAGTCGAAAGTATAGAATTTTGTTTTCAAAACAAAAAATAATAATTTAAGGCCAAAATTTAGTAGAGGACATTAGCCCCCAATTGCTTCTAAGTATATCCACCCATGTGTGATATGGGTGTTGAAAATTTTGTACAATACATGCATGGTTTGCCTATTCTTTGTTCAGTTCATATCAACACATTTTATTCAACTCAGATGTAATTTCGACAGTGGTCTTAAATTATTCTTAATCTAAGGCCAAATAATAACAATGCTCTTAGCTATTCTTAGTATAAGGCCAGGATCATAACAATGTTCTTAGCTATTCTTAGTCTAAGACCAGATCATATAGTTTCATTCTCAGACGCTTAAATTATAACTAATTTAAGACAAACAATTCTCCGACGCTTAAACTTTAATTAGTTTAAGGCAAACAATTCTCCGACGCTTAAACTTTGATTAGTTTAAGGCAATAGTTCTCCGACGCTTAAACTATATTTAGTTTAAGGCAAACAACAATTCTTAGACACTTAAACTATAATTAGACGATCTATACGAACACTCTAGTCACTAGATATATCTTCGAGCTTACCTCGAAGCTTAACGGAGGTTTTGGAAATTTTCCGGTGCAACTTTTGGCGAACACCACGGCTTGCTCCGGCGACCTCTCACCAAATTGACAGCACCACGGCGTTCATATCTCAACAAAGAATACAACATGAGGAAGAAAGGAGAGAATTGGTGATGAATTGGGAATGCAAGGTATTCCTTATATAGCAGAGACCTGGGGAAGAAGCCAAGTGACTCTTACGTAGAATTTCCTTAGTGTGCAGCACGACGATTCTAATTGATCTACACGCCGTTTTCTGATTGGGACCAATTTGGTTCCAGTCGGGGTACACTTTTTGGTCCAACTTTCTTCGAATTGAATTCCGGTTGCACATTTGCGATCGGACAGTCGAATTCTATTCAACGATATATTTTTCATAATTATTTGTAATATTTTTTTCGACATCATATTTTTGGGTGTTTGACTTTGACAGAGTCAAATTGATTCGGTTGACTTTTATTCAAAAAGGTTCTCATATTTAATTTATATTAATTATTCTCATGATTTATTTCAATAAATCATTTTAAAGTTCACTGCATAAATAATTTCTTCATTTATTCTTGATTTGGGTATGTACTCAGGTTCCTTATCAAGACCACATAAATAGTCAACATATTGGATTTATCTCTATGAGATTTATCTAGATTGTGATATTGGATATCAAACACATTTTATTTCGGCCCAAAGCCCAACAACAATTTATTTTAATGAAAACAAATTTGATTAATCGAATAATTATTCATTAATAATTCTAGGGTATGTTTTGGGGCGTTACATGAATCCTCTCTACTCTTACCAATTTAATTCTAGTCATTTTTTGTAATGGTAGTTTTTGAAATTAAATAATACTCCAAACGGCCACCTCCACCGGTTTCAGTGATGGCAACACTTGTGATAGCGATCAAGCTTTCCTCGTCTCACTTTCGTCACGCCAGCTGTGTTGCGGTGGTCACGTTGTGACGGATAAAATTACGCCAGGTTGAGGTAAAACAACATAAAAGCATGTGCAATGGTGAGGCAAGTGAATGGAGTAGCATGTTATGTAGTGGCAAGTCATTGTTTTTTTTTATATATTTTAATTATTAATTTTTTTTCAAAATTTTTTCCCAAAAATTTAGATGTCATTTTTCAAATAAATAATTCTTTCTTTTAAAATTTTTTATGTTTTTGAAATAAAAATAAATAAATAAAAAACAAAAAGGGAGATTATGCCTTGCATATCATGGAGGAATGCCCCTCGCATGCGTGGCAATACCAACTTAAATGCAAACTAAGTCCTATGTGGCATGGCATGGCAGTCTTTAGACTCGCCATTGCCAATGCTCTAAGTGTGCTGTATCATGCATTTATTTCGAAATTAAATAGAAAGGTTAAATATGTTTTTATTCCTATAGAATAGGTGGCCGGGTTTTATTTTTGGTCCATGTAATTTTTTTATTAACGTGACCTTTACAAAAATTTTATTTTGAAAAAAGTTGGCTAAACTCCACCTTTGATCCTTCAACTTTATCAATTGTGCACGATTGGTCCTTCAAATTTTAAAAGTCCATAAATAGTCCTTCAACTTTATGAGTTATGCACGATTGGTCCTTCAAGTTTTAAAAGTGCATAAATAGTCCTTGAAGTACACGTTAGCCCTCCAGATGAGGTCCTTTTGACAGTAAACGTTAAAAGCTAAATGGAATACTAATTCCGTATAATACGGAGTAGTTGTACCTAGTGGAATTTACTCGTATTATATGAAACTAGTATTTCGTTTAACTTTTAATATTTACTGTCAAAAGGACTTCATCTGGAGGGCTGGCGTATACCTGAAAGACTACTTATGGACTTTTGAAACTTGAAGGACCAATAGTGCAGAACTCATAAAGTTGAAGGACTATTTATGGACTTTTAAAACTTGAAGGACTAATCGTGCACAACTGATAAAGTTGAATGACCAATGTTAGATTTTAGCCAAAAACGTTTTAAAACATAATTAGCACTTCTACTAAAATGTGATAACATATTTATTTCATACTACTTATTCAACATGTTAATCTTGTAATTCTAATTAAACCTGATACAATTACCAAACCCTAAATTGTGTGATTCATATTAGAGTTTATAATAGAGTTAATATTATTACGAATTAAAAATTTTGGGACGATTATATGACGGTGACATTTAAGTACTCGTATTTAACACCTAATGCCTGCTTAGTTATGCGGTCATGCACTCATGCTAAAGTATAAAAGAAGTTGACTTTTACAGTTAAAAGTAAATTAAAGTGTAGTTACTGATTTTAAAAAAAAGTGTAGTGATTGTAGTCCCTATTTTATTTACGTATACTCATCATCTTAGACTATGTGTAGTGGTGGACTTGAGAGAAGTTTGATAGAGTGTCACACAACGCTCTATAGGCGAATGAGTATGAATAAAAAATAAGTGCGGCAAAGTTCTGTTGACACTATCATTCAGTGTCAATATGGATGACACTTGTCTATTTTGAGTATTTTTGGTGCTCCAAATAAAAAAAATAACGCTGCCTATCACCCCTAA